TCTTGTTTCTTTAAATTCTTTTAAAAACTTCCTTTTTTTTTTTTAAATTTTAAATTTCAATCGCAAAATTATTTGAAAAAGAAAATTTTAAAATACTAAAATTATTTTGTTTAAATAGATTTTTTTTCAAATAAAATTCCTAAAAACAACTTGCATAATATAGAAAAATAGTATTTATAGTTTAATCTTGATATCGCTTTAAATAAAATGAAAATATAAAAAATGTATCTCGTTTTTTATATTCCATTCGACAATTTTTGTTATAATAATTTTTAGTTAGAAGCTTTATTATATGTTAACAACATATAAGATATAAATAGAAACATTTGTATGGCTAACTTTTGCGAGTCTTTGAGTATATTAAGTAAATTAATATAATTAATAAGTTAATATTTAAGTAACTGTAAGTTACTGTTGTAACTTAACTGGTCGTTTTGATTTAGTTTATAAGTTAATTTACTGTAAAGTACTTTATCTATTCAGCAAGTCAAAGTAAATATAACTTTAAAAAGTTCAAGGTCGTTAAGCAAAAGATGTTAAAGCAAAAAAGTTGCTGGTTTCTGTTAACATTTATTAACTAATAGAATTTTTTTTTAATAAAAATGAATTAATATATATTTTAATATACTTAAAGTAGTAAAGTTAATTATATAATATTGTTGATAAAATAATAATTTAAATTATTAATAATAATTAGTTTGGTGCAACGTTTTAAAAATAAAGATAAAAACTAGGCTGTTTTTTTAAAAAAGAAAGAAGAAAATATTCTTTTCAACCTCTTTCCCCTTTTCAATTTTTTGCTTTAACGACCTTTTAAAATATTATTGGCTTCCACACAGATATTTAAAGTGAATTAATTTCAAAAGTGCTTTAGGTTGAATGAAAATCTCTGAGCGAAAGAGCAAATGATCATTCTATGTTCAAGATAAATTTAATGTGACGTACTTTATGGCAAAAACATTACTTTGCAAGTAATGTTTTTGCATGCAATTATAGCTAACTTTTATACACTTTCGATTAAAAACTTTATGAAGCTTTTGTTCTACTGGAAAGTGTAGGTCAATTAAAGTAATTTCTAATTTTAATTGTAGGTCAATTGAAGCAATTTCTAATTTTAGTTTCAACATTGTTGCTAAATGGGGTTTATACCATAAAATTTTATGCTTGCGATGTTTTTTTTTGTTTTGTTGTTTATTTGTGGTTGGTAGGTGAGTTTCGAATAGTATGATTGATTTTTGATTTTTGTAAAGCCTCTTCAGACGGAAGAATGGAATTATTAAACACAATTTCATTTACTGCTATAGTCGATAATCTTAACTCAATAGTGTTAGGGATTTCTTTTATTATATTAGGTGTATGGTTTGAATCAGAATGAACATATATAAGTTGGTTATTAAGTTTATAATATGGTTGATAAAAACTGTTAATCAGTTTGTTATTTGAAGATAATTGCTAATTTTAATATTAAAACATTGGATGGAAAGTAGGTTTTTACTTTTAAAAAAATGCGTAAAATGCTTTTTGATTTTTTTTATTTGTTGGCTGCTTTTGTTTTCAAAAATAGCAAGCCTGTTGTCACTATATAAATCAAAATTATTTTATTATAATGTTGAGCTGAAATAATATAAAAATACCAACTAGTTTGAAAACTTCAGTTCCATCAAATGCTCCCATCGTGACATCAAAAATCTGCCTCTATCATATAACAAGAGTGGTTGAACTATATTTGTCCTTAATTTTAAACTTACATAAATATGAATCAAGAATATTGTTGATTTCTTCATTAACTAAACTAGTCTTAGTAAGATCCACTGCCAATTTTTACTCATGCACCATTAACATATTCTTTTCAAAAACCAACAATAATGGAGTCAATATCTCTAGCATGCCAAAATAACTACATAGGAATCTGTAGTCATGCAGTCGTTTGGTTATGCCGAAAAGTTTAGCACCTATTTTGTTTTCATACTGCAATCAGTAAGAGCATTGTCAAAAACCCATAACAAGCGCCGGCCAGTTATGGAACAACTTTGTAATGGAACAACTTTGTAGTACCACACTTCCTCTGATTTACAAAGTGCATTCCAGATATTTTTGGCAGGGTGTAGTGTGTAATGTTTAATGCCTCAGCCTTTTTTTAACTTCTCTTTTTAATTTGCTAGAATTGTGAAATAAATTGAATAAGGTAGTATAGAAGAGTTCGTACTTTTTAAATTGGGCAATACCTTTTACTGTACCTTTAATACCCAATTCTAAACTGTGGTTTACGCAGTGAATTTTTATGAACCACATTCAATTGTTTTTCATTTGAGTTAGTACCCCATTGTAAAGGCCAAAATTGACACTAGTACCATCAGCAGTAGCGCTGACAAGTTTGTTTTTGTATACTTCTGCAATTATAGAAATATCCTTGGTTTTACTGAAAATGCTGTCAATAGCCTTTTTAATGGCATTAGTATCTGTACGACCTAAATAGTCCATAAAATGCGGTAGTGGTGTAGTGGTAAGAGCGCTCGTTTTGTAAGCAAGAGGTTCGGAGTTCGACTCCCACCACGTCCCTGGAAGTACCGCGCTCAACTTAATTTCTCCGCGCAGCGGCCTTGCTTGTTAAGGTTCGTGTTTCGGAGTTAAAGAGTTGAGAGAGGGTTGTACCACGATTTACAACAACAAAAAAAAAAAAGTAGCCTCCTCGACTGTAGTGGCCCCCTCGGGCCTTGGAAAGGTGAATAATTAAAAAAAAAAAAAAAAAAAAAAAATCTCAAGTAAAGATATAACAAAACAAGTTAGGGTTCCATTTCATTTAACATGTGCAAGACTCTTTCTCATCATTTATTTTTCTAGTTTGAGAACCATCTGAAAGATGGAGAAAAAGTTTTTTTGTTAACAAATTTCAGTAACTTTTTTTTAAGCCACCTTAGCAATGCATGAGATAAATTTGCGTGTTAAAAATAAATTAGAAAAATAACCTTATTTAACCGATTAACCTTAATTAAAATTTAAAATTTTATATTAACTTTTTTAGAAATCTGTTCGAATAGGAATATAATTGTACATAAAGAGATGTGCAATTACAAAGAGATCTTGAATAACCAATCAAATATTATCAATGAAAAAATAGTTTTAAATATATCCTGGCATCACAAAATCAAAGTAAACAAATAATTTTAGTTTTTACCTGATGTTTAGTTACCACACAAGCTCCTTCTGTAAATGCTTTTAAAAAATTAATTTATGCTCCTTTAACTGAAGGTTCGCTTAAAATAGCTATTTTATTTCTTGCACAAATCTTGAACCCTATTTTAACAACTAACCTGTTTTCTTCCGTGTATCCTATAATTGTTTCCTTTCCCAACAAAAAAAAAGTTTTTAATTTCTTAGATATTGGTTTATTAACATTGTGTTTACAGAAGATGCCATTTTAAAAAACTCTTTATACTTAAACTTATTTTTTCTTCTGCATACAACTTTTTCCTCTATTAAAAACTAATAAGAAATTTTAAGTAAAAAAACTCACTAAACAATATCCGGGGTATTGTTTAAGAGTTGCACTTCTATTTCATGACTTGTTTTAGACCAGAAATTTAAAAATAAAAAAACCACAAAGTAAATATTATTAGGGGTTATAAAAAGCTGTCCTCACTATACATTATTTTTACAGTTTATCCATAAAATTTTAGTTAAAATATTTTGATGTAATTAAAATATGCTATTCCTAACCTATTTAAGTCAATTAATGTCTGTAAAATCCACTGCAACTATGATTATATTGGTTGATGAATTTCCTAATGCTAACCCTTACCACTTTTTTTTTTTTTTGTATATATATATATATTTCACTTTTATGGTATATATTATACAGGAAACAATATGAGGACTAAAGTATAATACTAAATATTAAATATATATATATATATATATATATATATATATATATATATATATATATATATATATATATATATATATATATTTCACTTTTATGGTATATATTATACAGAAAACAGTATGAGGACTAAAGTATAATACTAAATATTAAATATATATATATATATATTTCACTTTTATGGTATATATTATACAGAAAACAGTATGAGGACTAAAGTATAATACTAAATATTAAATATATATATATTTCACTTTTATGGTATATATTATACAGAAAACAGTATGAGGACTAAAGTATAATACTAAATATTAAATGATGATACTAAAGCTTTAACCAAATCAATGATTTGGTTAAAGCTTCAGTATCATTATTTAAATTTTTTTTAACCAATTATATCAACACTCAACAGTTATCAAAACTCAAACTTTTTAAAATCATTTAAATGTGTAGTTTGTCGCAGATAGAAAAAACTCCCTTAAAATAGACTCTTATGACAGTCCACATATTATTTTAATTTATTCTGGATAACCAAAAAAGAAAACCAGTTCATTATTTATCTCTTTAAAATTTAACAAGTTGTTTCCAAAAATAAGATATTACTAAAGCAGTAAGTGAATAATTAATTTTCTCTAATGACTACTCAAGTAATTGTTTTTACTGTTTTATCTCCAGACATCTCCATAACTTCACAATTTCAGATAGGGCACACTAAAAATGTACTGTTTTATGTATTTTATATAGTTTCTGTGATGAGAAAAGAAACTCTGTTACCACTATATATGCTTAACTTTGTAAATATGCTTAACATTTGCTCAGTAAGGTTACATCTTTTATGGTGATAGCTCAATTTAAAATAAATTTAGAAACTGGGTACTGATGATTGAAACTGGTAAGAGCTGGTAAAAAGTTTAACATGAGATTTGGTTTTGTTGAAAAAAAATAGGTTCTTGAAGGTTCACAATATTTGGTAAGGGTCTGCACTTTTAGGGTTCACATTTTTAGACCCACAATGTTAAGTGCCATTAAATAAGTTTACAAGAATTAAAAAATTATGATTGAATTATTCATCATTTTCTTTTTAGAAAATATTTTTTGTCTTATTCTTCTTTTTTAGTTGATCAGAGAATTAAAAAAAGAATGCTTTGGTTTGAAAATGAGAATTTTTTATATGGAGGAACGACTTCATAATACATTTGATACCTCAACTGGTGATATGATTAAAAAGGTTAACATGCTTAATTAAAATAATAGATGTATAACTTTTCAGTTGATTTATGATGCAGTGTGTTATGTCAAAGTATTAAGTTAAACGTTTTTACATTTTATATTCTATGTTAAATTTTCTTTTAAATGAAGTTAGGAAAAATTTTGCAAAAGAATTTAATATTAATTACAGAATGTTGAACTTAAAGTTATGATAGAGGAGCTTAAACAAGAAAATAGTGTAAAAACGGATCTGCTTGCTAAAGCTTCGTAAGTGTTTATTTATTTTGGTCTATAATAGAGATCATGGTTTTAATGAAGGGCTTTTATTTGATTTTTAACTTTAGCATAATTAAACAAACCCACTGTTTATGGTTTTAAGAAATAAGATTTAAAACCATAAATAATGATTTAAGAAATGTGATTTTTTATTCAAAGTTTATTTTTATTTTAATTATTTTATTTTAACTATTAATTGTTTGATAATTTTATTGATTGTTATAATTATTCTAAAATAAAAAAGTTATTCAATAAAGTTGAAATAATGTGAAATAATGTTTTAGCCTGAAAATAATGAAATGTCGTTAGAAATTGTTGAAACCACCAGTTTAGCTGTGATGTTGTATAAATTTAGCTGTGATGTTGTATAAATTTAGAAAATGATCTAATTAAAGAGGGGAGTGGATACACAAGTAACTTGTTACTATGAGGATATTTTGTACTTCTTATATGGTAATGAAGTTATATCTTCCATATGGTAATGAAGTGATATCTTCCATATGGTAATGAAGTGATATCTTCCATATAAAGTTATAGATTTGTGATTATTGCTCTCTCAATACAAAAGTTTTGTGTTTTTTTTGTGTTTGTCTTACCAAAAACTAAGCTTTTTAAAAACTTATAAATGATTATGGCAGCTCTATTTCAAATTAAAGTTTTCTAATGCTAAAAAACTAATCCATTTTTTTAAACATTTTAAAACAAATATGAAATAATAAACTTTGTTCAAATAAAATTATTTATATTTACGTGTGATTTTTTCAATATTCTATAGAGTGTAAAGACTTACCCCACCTTTTTACATGCTGTTTGATTGATATTAAATTAAAGTACTTATTCTTAGAATTAAAAAAAAAAATTGTTTTCAAATTTATAAATTTTTACTTTCAGATTAGCAATGGAACAATTAACAGCTGCTAAAGTTAGTTTTTTTTTAAATTTATTTTTAAAGCTACTACAGGGCTTGAATTAAAAATATATATTTGCAAAAAATATATATTTTTGTTCAATCAATGTCAGTATAAATATTCTCTCAAAAGAGTTTTTTTGTTAATTACTTTTAGTACACATTCTCATGCAGTTGATCTATTGTTTCAAAACCATTCAAAATAATGTTAAAATATAGTTAATTATTTAATATATTTTTCAATAAAATAATGCTTAAGAAATAGATTAGTTAGTTTATTAATATTGAAATGATGATTTTTCATTTTATTTTTAAATAAAAATGTTTTAGAATAGAATTAAAATAGTTTATTATGTTTTTGTTTCATTTGTTTAATACATTGCAACAAAATATTTATAGCTTTTATTTTCACTGAGTTTTATATTCTTTTAAAAAAAAATTTTTTAAATGCAAAAAAATTCCAAACTACACAAAATTAAAAAAATATTCAAATTTACAAAAATATCTTCAATGCGTTGAAATAAGTTTTTTTCGCAAATTGTTCAAATCTGATTATTGTAACCAATATTAAATCCATCTCTGATTTCTTAAAAAAATTGTTTAAAGAAAAACCATCTTCTAATTTTTAAAATAAAATATTTACTATTGTTTAAAAAGCATCTCCCACATTTATAAGATTATATAGTTCAGTTCACTTTATAATTATTATACGAGAAAGTTACAAGTTTTTGTAACTTTCTCGTATAATAATTAAAAAGTCTTTCAATTGTTACTTCTAATTTTAGCAAGTAAATAATTTCGCGTATATTAAATATATTTAATAAATCTTCAATTATTGTATTCTATATTTTTATGAATTGCCTAAAAAACACTATATCAGAAGGAAGAAAAAAAAAAGAACAGTAAAAGAAAAATTATGATAAAACTAATTGCTAAATATGAAAAGCACTTTCTTAATTAGATTTTTACGCTTAATTTGAGCCCTGTACTAGTATTATGTTATTTTCTTGTAATTTAATTGTATATAAGTAAACAATACTGTTATAAATGTGTTTACTATAAGTAAACAATACTGTTATAAATGTGTTTACTATAAGTAAACAATACTGTTATAAATGTGTTTACTATAAGTAAACAATACTGTTATAAATGTGTTTACTATAAGTAAACAATACTGTTATAAATGTGTTTACTATAAGTAAACAATACTGTTATAAATGTGTTTACTATAAGTAAACAATACTGTTATAAATGTGTTTACTATAAGTAAACAATACTGTTATAAATGTGTTTACTATAAGTAAACAATACTGTTATAAATGTGTTTACTATAAGTAAACAATACTGTTATAAATGTGTTTACTATAAGTAAACAATACTGTTATAAATGTGTTTACTATAAGTAAACAATACTGTTATAAATGTGTTTACTATAAGTAAACAATACTGTTATAAATGTGTTTACTATAAGTAAACAATACTGTTATAAATGTGTTTACTATAAGTAAACAATACTGTTATAAATGTGTTTACTATAAGTAAACAATACTGTTATAAATGTGTTTACTATAAGTAAACAATACTGTTATAAATGTGTTTACTTTCAGTTTTTATTCTCTATCAATTTAAATTGTTAATTTTACATTTGGTTTTAATGGATTGAGTAAAAAATTAAATTTTTTTTAAATATATCTATACATTTTTTTATAAATAATTAACTATAAATGAATATTATCATAAACTAACATTATTATTATTGAAAAATATTTTTTCACAGATGCATGACGAGAAAAATGAATCTTTGCAAGTTATTTTAGCTAAAAAAATTAAGGTTACTTTCATAATTTTTTTTTTTTTTTTATAATTTGACATTTTTTTCCATAAAGTTCTTATTTTAAGTTCATATTTTAATATTTTTGTTTCTGATCATTAGAAAATAGAAAGCCTCAAGAAACAATGTAGCATAACCAAAGAAAAACTTGTGAGTTTAAACCAATATATTATTATTTTATCTTAATTTTTTATATTATTTTGCAAGCAATAAAAGGTAAAATAAAATTCAAAAATTTTTTAAAACATTCAGTCAACTTTTTTCTATTAATTTTATTTGTCTAAAAAGTTATTTAAATGTATTTTTTTACATGATTAAAAGTTATTTTCAAATGTAATTTTATTTATTTTGAGTCTATTTTGAATGCTTTTTTTTATTTTTATTTCAAGTCCATAAATTTTAATTTAAGTTCTGTTAAATGTTGGCTATTTATCATAAAAGAAAAATTAAAAGTTTATAATGTTTTTTTTTTATTTATGCAAGAATATTGCTCAAAGTAAGTTAGAAGAAAAAGAAAGCAAGGAGGAAAAACTTCAAAAAGCATTAGATGATATTTCAGATGGATTTGAGGTGGTAGTTGATTTTTTTTTTTAAACAAACAATTTTATAAAAATAATTTGAAACAAAAAAAATTTTAATTTTTTTATAAAAAGGCATTAAAGACTCGAAAGCATGAAGATGAAGAAGTGCTTAAGTCAATGGTACTCTTTTTGTAAATCAAAATGCAATTTCATATATATATATATATATATATATATATATATATATATATATATATATATATATATATATATATATATATATATATATATATATATATATATATATATATATATATATATATATATATATATGTATATATATTTTACATTTTGAGCAATTTTTGGATTCTTATTTGAAACTAATAAATCTTGTGTTGCATACAATATTAAAATTTCTTTGTAACTTACTGTGTGGAATGCATTTTTTTTTTAGATAAAAGAACTGGAAGAAACTATTGCAGATAAAGAAAATACCATTGATGTAATTAAATAGTTTTATATTACAATTATCTAGTTCTGATCTAAATACTGTATATCTAAATATGTTAAGATTAAAATACTCTATATTAAATATAATAAATACTATATATATTATATATATTCCGATTAGCACTTTCCTTATATTTGTATACTTGAATTCAGACAGCTTAAACCAAAAACATATCTTTATAGCAGGCCTTGCAATTGCATAATCGAACAGAAAGACTGGAATCTAATAAACACTTTTTTAGCAAAAATAATAAAAAAACAAATTTTTCATATCATTTACTGCTCAATTACAAAAATTAAAATTATTAATTTATTTGGATTCCAATACTTTTTGTGCAGATTCTTTCATTAAATGAAAATGGTCAACTTCGTATAGTTATTTATAAGTATCATAGATGAGTTTTTTCAGGAAATTCACAGAATTCCGAAAATTCACTTTAAACACCTTTAATTTTTCCAGAAATTTCCGGAGTTTTTTGATATTAATTAGAAAAAAAAATTAATAAATTTTCACATAAAATTTTACATAGGACAACTTTTACATTTAAACAAATATGTTTTCTATAATTAAAATTTTCACAAGATCAATTTTCATAACAATTTTTTTTTTTTTTTTTTGCTTTTTAATTCATTCAAACTTTTTTGAATATTAGAAATTCCTTTTTGTAAAAAGTTTTTTGTAAAAAGTTTTTTGTAAAAAGTTTAATAATGTAATTTTCGTTTTAAAATAATCTAAATTCCGTTTGTCAGTTTTTTTTTTTTTTTTTTTTTTTTTAACATCTTCACTTCCAACAAGGCTGCAAGCAACCACTATAAGAGTTGGAAGTTACTGGAAGAGAAAAGACTAAATCTGTAGAGCAAGATAACGATTGACTGAAGACTTAAAAGATTGCAAATTATATGAATCAGGAAAGCAAGATGAAGGCAGCGAATTCCAAAGAACTGATGTTCGAGGAAAAAAACTAGAAGAATAAGAGTTTTTGAAGCACTTAGGAACAGTCACAGAAAAAGGATGAGACTTAATTGAATGGCCAGTAACACGAGAATGAATTTTAGTAGATGGCACAAGGGACGCTAGCTCTTTAGAGCAGTGCCCATTATAGTATTTGTAGAAAAGAGAAAGAGAAGCAACATTACGACGAAGTGACAAAGGTTGGAGATTGGCTGCCAGAGCAGGTCCAACTATGTTTACAATTCGTTTTTGCACCTTGTCTAAAAGAGAAAGAGCATCATTAGAAGATCCGCCCCAGATGTGGCAACAGTATTCCATACAGGGACGGATTTGAGATTTATAGAGATAGAGAATAGAATCTGGAGTAAGAAAGTGTCGAGCTCAATAAAGAGATGCAACCTTAGCAGATGCTAATTTTGCAATGGATTTGATATACGGTTTAAAAGAAAGATCAGAAGTAAGAGTTAATCCTAGAAGATGAATGGTAGATGACTCATCTAGTACATTACCATTCATAAATATAGGAAGATCTAAATTATTACGATAACGATTGGCCGAATAAAATTGAGTTTTATCTGAATTAAAGTTCACCAGCCACTGTGAACCCCATGCTGTAGCAGAAGTGAGATCCTTTTCAAGCTCAGATACCCCCTCCAAGCAATCAGAGAGTGTAGGCTTCTTATCATGACAAGAGTAAATGGTAGTGTCGTCAGCGAATAATGCCACCTTAGATGTGAGGATATCTGGAAGATCGTTAATGTAAATTAAAAAGAGTATAGGGCCAAGGATTGAACCTTGAGGAACCCCTGAAGTTACAGGATGTGAAGAAGAGTGTTGTCCATCGAGGACAACTTTTATCCTACGATTGGAAAGAAAGGACTCAATAATCTTAAAGACGTTACCAGCTACACCATAAGAAGAAAGCTTATGGAGAAGACCAGCATGCCAAACTTTATCAAAAGCTTTAGAAATGTCAAGTGCGATAGCCTTAACCTCTCCACCTCTATCTAATGCACGGTAAAACCTATCGGTTATTACTGTTAGCACATCAGCTGTAGAACGAGAAGACCGAAATCCATATTGATGATCAGAAAGTAAGTTATTTGATTCAAGATGAAGTGTTTGTTGATTAAAGATTCAAAAACCTTGCTTATGACAGGAAGAAGACTAATGGGACGGTAGTTAGATAAATCAGATCGCTCTCCGGAATTTTTGAAAATAGGGATAACAGATGCTGCTTTCCAGCATGATGGAAAACAAGACTCTGATAAGCACTTGTCAAATAGTTTAGAAAGTATGGATGAAAGCTCCGGAGAACACCTCTGCAAGACTACAACAGGAATGTTGTCAGGACCACAAGCTGTTGAAGAGTCTAAGCAGGAAATTACTTTAGATACAGAAGCTGAAGTGATGCGAATATCAAGCAAGGGATCAACCTGTTTGACGGCTATGTCAGGTAAAACGCAACTAGTGGAATCAAGAGATGATATTGATGAAAAGTTCTTAGCAAACAATTCAGCTTTGTCTTTAGGTGAGGTGACATAGTCTGAACCATACAAGAGAAAAGGAATAACAGATTTGCCCTTATTATTGATACTGTTAAAGATTCTCCAGAAGTCTCGAGAGCCTAATTTTTGTGATGAGATACGAGATTTAATGACCTGAGAATAGCGAGCTTTGGCGTCAGACAAAACCTTTTTACAATGGTTTCTGGCGATAGTGAACAGATTGTTCACTATCGCCAGAAAGTGAACAATCTGTTCACTAGTCTGTTTTCTGGAGAATTGTTTTGCTGATAGATATGGAAGTAACGGTTTCGATTAGAAATTGCTGCAGCGCAATGTGAGGAAAACCAAGGAGAAGAGTGAGGCTTGACCTGGAACCGTCGAGAGGGAATAAAAGATTCCATGCCAGCCTGAATCCACGAAGTTATGTAAGAAGCACATTTGTCAGCAGGAAGACGAAAGATTTCTACCCAAGGGCCATCACGAAGAAAATCACGGAAAGAGTCCCAGTCAGCTTTAAGGTAGTTGTATGTGGTACGATGATAGGGGGATTCTGATGAAGTAGAAGAATTTGATAATAGTTTTAGAGAGATCAAACCGTGATCAGAAGTACCTAAGGGTGAATGTGGAGAAATTGAGCACTGACTAGGATCCAAAACAAGACATAAGTCGAGTAGAGAAGGTAAATGATTAGGGTTGTCTGGAAAACGAGTTGGAAAGTTGACTATTTGAGTTAGAGATTGAGAAAGGCAAAAGTTGAGGGCCTTAACGCCAGCAGAGTCACTGACACTAGAGCCAAGCCAATCGGTGTGATGGGCATTAAAGTCACCAACAACGACGATATTGGCCGATGGATAAAGAGAGAGGGCTTGGTCAATTTGATCAGAAATAACATCAAGAATAGTGCAATCTTGGGATGAAGGAGAGCGATATAGAACAAAGAGAAAGGGGATAGAGTGAAGTTGTGCTAAACGAAAGCACATAAATGAATAGTCAGTAGATTCAAACCTAGTTTCACGACAAATGGGTGAGTTCTTACGAATGTAGATGCCCAGGCCAAGCATGTGATTATTGGAGTCTTTACGAATTAAAGGAAGATAACCATCAACACTAAGATCACAAGATGGGACAGCCGAACTCAAATTAGTCTCACAAAGAGCAAGTAGGTCTGGTGAACTTTGCAAGAGATAAGACTCAACAGAAGAAAAGTTACTTCGAAGACCACGAATATTAGTAAATGATAGGTTTAGAGAACTTGGTGATGACGATGGTTTTTTGTGTTTTTTAGTTTTAGGTACTTTAGTCATTTTAAATTTATAAAGAACTTGACTCAAGTATAGATAGTACTCAGTACACTATTTAACAACTAAGCAATAGCCTCATTACTATTAATAAACCCTAAGCCGTAACAAAGGGCTCCAAATGTGGCCTCTGCAATGCACACCAAAAGTACAAACAGGGACACCATCCATGCACAACATGGCACTGTTAGTACTCTGATATTTTTCGGCTGTTGATGGAATCAGCCTCTCTGAGAGCTACCACAGAGTTCGGGAAACCTGACTACCAGCCGGCCTCAGAACCATAAAACTGAGTTTTAGAGCTGTACCCTCATTAGGAGATAATAGAATGAGTTGCCCAGTCATAAAAATAGAGACACAAGCAATACCCACGCATTGAGTCAAGAAGATCCAGCGTTCAACATCCTAAACTGGAAACAATGTATTAAAAATACATCTGCGCCAGCCTAATAGATGAGGAAGGGGTGCGAGGCTGGTCAACAGATAGAATCTGATTACCCCTTAAGTCTTTGCCTAGGAGGCCTTCTACAAGACAGCAGCTGGATGCATGTAACATCTGCCCAAGATGAGTATTTTTATCGAGACACCATCTCTAGCCTTTACTCAACCAAGAGCCCCAAGGCAGGGGGTGTTTTAATTCGGAGTTTACTTCTCCTAGCCTTTGCCTAAATAAGCGTATCCTACAAGGCAGCAGGACATGGAGCAGGTTGTACTGGGTTACATGTTACCAGTAGCAGGAAAACCTGACCTGACCTAGGTCAGGTCCTGACCTGACCTGACTAGTTAAATGCGATCAAATAATTTTCCGGGATTTCCCCGGATTATCATAGAAAAAAAATTTCAAGTCAAATACTTATCTATGAAGTATGTTAGATAAGGCGAGGTAAGGTTCAGGATCATCATGATTACCCTGCTACTTTTATTAAGTAATCCAGTACAACATGCCCCAATTCCTGCTGCCTTTTAGGATTGCAAATGATGCAAAATTGTGTCTTTAACATATTAATTTATATGTATTATTTAAAGGTAAATTAAAAAGATACAAAGTACCTTTTACCTAATAGCTTTTCTATGATTAAGTCAAGTTGACCAAATGTACTTAAAATATTAAACATAAAAAATCATCAGCATTGCATAATTGTTTTATTTTTTCTTTTATGAATATTTGTGGTCTTTTAAGTAACTTTTTATCTGTTGAATCTTAGCTCTTGCAAAATTCACCAGACTTATTTGTTCTTTATGAGTATAATTTGAATTTGGCTGTTTCATCTTTAGATCTCAGTGTTGAAAGCTATTATTCTTTTGCAAAGACTCCAACAGTCACATGGTTGGCCTCAGCAAATATTTACCGATCAGTTCACCTATTTGCTCTGAAATCAATAATGTCATAATCCTATAATGATCAATAATGCTCTGACCATTCTTGAATGTGTTCACATTTAACACCTCTTCACTTAATCAACTTTTTTTTTGTTCTTTATCTCTCTTCTTCTCCTCAACACTCATTCAGATGTAGTTTTTGATCAAATTGAAGAATTTTTGATTAAATTGACTTAATCCTTCAGCCAATATTATTGTTGTTGGTGACTTTAATACTCATCACACTGAATAGCTCTAATACCACTGACCCTGCTGATACTAAAGAACATAGCTTTTGTATTTTTCAGTCTTTTATTCAGTTAACTGTGATATGTTTTCCAAATAATTGTAATTACTTACCTTTTACTCCTTGATTTGTGAATTTTCTCTGACTCAGTTTCTCCTTGTTTTCTTTATCTGGTTTAGACTATACAACTTGTACTACTTTTACGACTTTTTGTATGACAATGCTATGACTTGAGCTTATACTAAAGCTTAGTACTATTTACTTATCACTACCTTTAGGCTGGAATTTCTCATTTGCTTTTCTTCATAGCAATCCTTGTGCTGATGTCTTTTGCCTCTCTGCTGATAAATGTGTCTCCTATGTAATCTACTGGATTGAGGCAGACACAAGAGCTTTTATTCCTTCTTGTCAGTTTTAAGCCTCATTCAACTCCTTCCTTTCCCTCACTTTGTGGAACTAATTGTGATCATTTTCATCTATTTACAAGAACAAAATTTAAGAACAAAGAGAACAAAAATTTAAGAACAAATGTTGCATTTAATTGTTGTAAGAAATCAATTTTTTTAAATTATTGCAAAAAATAAATGCAAAAGCCTTGTCTTATGCTAAGCACTATTCTTCTTCTCATATTTTGTCTCAGAAGTTAGGTTTTTGAGACTTAAATTTTTTTTATCTGTTTCATTAATTAAGGCAAGTCTAACATTCCATCTCTAATACATGGTCTAACATTCCATCTCTAATACATGGTTGTAATCTTATTACCTCTCTTAAGGTAGAACTATTTGCAAAGAACCTTTTCCTCTAATTTGTCTCTTGAATCAAATGGCCATTTTTTTTTTTTTTATCTCTGAGAAACAGGTTAATTGATTGTTAGAAAATCCAAATCACTTCAGCTTTCATTGCTAAAATTATTTCTCTCTTAAATTCTTCTTGGTCATCATTTCCATCATAGTCTCACAAAATTGTTTTCCAGAATTATCTTTAAGATTTTCTAAACTATAATTGCTTAACTAAATCTTGTTTTTCTGTCTGCTGGAAAATTGTGTCTGTGGTTCCAATTTTTAAAAATTCTAGAGAACACCTTTACCCCCACTATCATCCAATCAGTCATCTCCTTGTTATTAATATTCCAAATTTGGAATATTAATAACAAGGAGATTTCAAATAAAAAGACTCTGCAACATTCTTGCAGTCTTTTTATTTGAAATCCTCTCGAATTATCATTAGCTAGTGACCTCTCATAGAAACTGCAAATACTAATACTCTGGTAAAGTTGCCTAGTTTTAAATTAAAATAAATTTTTAAATTAAATTAAATTTTTGTGATGAAATGCAAGATAGTGTGAGATTAGCAGGCTTTGATGTTAGCAAAACTTTTTTGCAATGGTTTCTAGCAATAGTAAACAGTTATCTGTTTTCTGAAGAATTGTTTTGGTAATAGATGTGGAAGTAATGGTTGCAGCAACATGGTTAGAAGAAAACCATGAAGAAAAATGAGGATTGACTTGGAATTATCAAGAGGGAATAAAATATTTCATGCCAGCCTGAATCCAAGAAGTTACATAAGAAGCACAGTTGTCAGGTGAAAGACGAAAGATTTCTACCCAAGGGCCATCTCGAAAAAAATCATGAAAAGAATCCCAGTCAGCTTTAAGGTAGTTGTAAGAGGTACAATAATAGGGGGTTCTAATAATGAAGAAGAATGAGATAATAGTTTTAGAGAGATCAAACCATGATCAGAAGTACCTAAGGGTGAATGTGGAGAAACTGAGTACTGACTAGGATCAGAAACAAGACGTAAGTTGAGCAGAGAAAGTATATGATTGTCTGGAAAGCGAGTTGGACTTTAACACAAGTTGATTACTTGTGTTAAAGGTTGAAAAAAGTCAAAATTTGTGGGTTTTAACACCTGCAGAGTCACTGACACTTGAGCCAAGTCATTTAGTGTGATGAGCATTAAAGTCACCAACAACAATGATATTGGCTAAAGGATAAAGAAAAAGGGCTCGATCAATTTGATTAGAACATCAAAAAGAGTGCAGCCTTGAGAAGGAGAGCAATATAGAAAAAAGAGAAACGAGAGTGAAGTGGTGCTAATCGAAAGCACATAAAATAATAGTCTGTGGATTCAAACTTTATATAATAATGATTTAATCTTAAGTTTTGCATTTCAAGTTAATTATTTTTTTATTTGCTTACTCTTTTTTAAAGTTTATACTTACAGTATCCATCTTTTATTGTCCTTGATCAATATTTAAAATAATTATTTAATCTCCATTTAATTCAAAACTATTTTAAATTTGTTAATGTTTTTACTTACATTTTTAACATTTTAAGAGTCTTAAGATGAAAACGGCTCTCCTTGAAAAGGACAACACAATGTTTCGGACAACATTAAGTAAAATTGAAATTGAGAAAGAGAAATCCGCTGAAGTTTTTCAAGAGCAGATAAAAGTGAGACATACTTTTTCATTTTATTGAGTATTATGAGCTATTTAGTTTTATTTGTTGTTTTTTTTAGAGTGTTTTTTTTTTTTTAATTTGTATAAAGCATAACTTTGACAACTTTATTCCAAACATAATTCAAATAATCTTATCGTTGTTTATTATTTATTTTAGTTAAGTTTTAATTTTATTTATCTGTGTGTGTGTGTGTTTACCTACATATATATTTCATCTAAAAATCTACACCTTTTCAAGATGTAATTGAGAAAACAAAAATTGTAATTAAGAATCGTAAGATGTAATTGAGAAAACAAAAGTTGTAATTAAGAAACGTAAGATGTAATTGAGAAAACGTAAGTTGTAATTAAGAAACATAAGATGTAATTTAGAAAACGAAAATTGTAATTAAGAATCGTAACATGTAATTGAGAAAATGTAAGTTGTAATTAAGAAATAGAAAGATGTAATTGAGAACACGAAAATTTTAATTTAGATATCGCTTTAAAGGAGTAAGTGTAAAATGGCGCTTAAAAAAAATGGCGCATAAAAAAATGGAGCGTATAAAATGACGCACTTAAAAATGACGCAAGATTTGTAGCGTAAATTTAATTTTTTGGGGAAAAATTTATAATTTTTGGGCAAATGAATTTAACATAATAAACACTAAAAACATTTTAGGGAAAAATTTATAATTCAATTAAAAATTATAATTAAAAATTGTATAATTAAAAATCACTTCATTGATCATTTAAGCATCAACTTGTACGTCTTCCATATTTAAAATAGTTGCATAGTGCGTGGTTGTGTGTTGTACCGCACGTGCACAATCTCCTCCCATTATAGTATTTTTCGCCTCAATTACAATTCGTTCTAAGTACTGCATGCGCTGTTCCGCAATCCCGTCACCTAATACAGGTGGAATGCGAATTGCATTTTTAACGTTACTTTTAATTTTGGACCAGATCGTTTCCACCGGGTTCAACATTAGACTGTAAGGTCCCAAACGTAACAACTGAGCTGGTGAATTATCAAACACCCTTTGCAAACGAGCGTGACAAGGAGCATTATCTGTTACGACGACCAAATCCTCCAAACGATTCCCGGATGTAACCCACTGGTGAAACATAGCCAACATCCACTCGTTACAGGAATCTGCTTTAAATGATCCCCTGCGAGTTTCTATCATGACGACATTTATAGTTGAAATAGCTGCGATCAAGTGTATGTTTAAACCTATTAAAGCAGGTACTTTCATAATTGCTCTTTTTCCTTGTCTCGCGTGTCCTTGCGTTTTTCTACAAAAAAGGTTAAAATTTGTTTCATCCAACCAAACTATCTGACGACCATTTGTGATATGTTCGTTGATGTTTCTAACATATTCAGCTCTTTTTTGTTTGTTTTCATAACTGTTCATTGTAGAAGGCTCCTTGTGCACTTTTTTTAATGAGAACAATCTGCCTTCGAGGTAATTTGCTATTGTTGTTGTGCTAACGTTTATGTTAAATTGTCTTAATATCTTTGTTTTGATGGCCACCAATGTTAATTGACAATCATTTTCAATCCATGTTAATGTTTCTTCGATTTGATCTTCGGTCAACTTTTTCGGTTTAAAACCTCCTTTTCCGATGAAATTTGAATTTCCGCTGCGAACCCAATTGTATGCTGTCTTATATTTGATACCTAGCGTTTGCGCGAGATTCACCCAATCTTTAAATCGCTCCGCACATTCAACAACTCTTCTCCTGTCATTTGGAGAAGATAAAACGTAACGTTTCTTTTCAACTTGTTCAGTTGTGTGTATTTCATGCCGACAAATCGGACAACTTGAATCTGGTTGTTCCAGAACTGGACGTAAACAAATTTGGTGACATAAATGTTGACACGGATTTAGCTTAATTACAGACTTTCGGTTCATAGTGTATTGGCATATAACACAACGATCTTTCAATTCCATTATTATTACTTGTGCATACAAAAGCAAAATTTAAGATTATAACTTAAATTCATGTCCAAAAAAACCTTTTGTAACAACCTACAAACTTAGACTGTGAATTTGCTATTTTAATTTATGTGTTCTCAATTACAAGTTACGATTTCTCAATTACATATTATGATTTCTCAATTATATCTTACGTTTTCTCAATTACATGTTGTGTTTCTTAATTACATGTTACGACTTCTTATTTACATGTTGTGTTTTTCAATTACATATAACGTTTTCTCAATTACATGTTGTGTTTCTTAATTACATATTACGACTTCTTAATTACAACTTTCATGTTCTCATTTACATCTTGAAAAGGTGTAGTGTAATTTAATTTAATAGTTTTTTTATATAAATTAAATTAATTTATAAATCCTATTTAAATGAATATTGAAATACTTTTCTCTTATATAAAGGAATGCCTGCCAAAACCTAAACCTTTAGTCGATGTAAGTACACTACACTGTGCCTATCTCTATTTAAGTCAGTTGATTAATGTACACTCCACTGTGTAAAAAAAAATATAATCAGTAGCAATAGTTAAAAAACATAAAAATACTTCGAAATAAAACTTTTTACTAGAAAAATTTAAATAAAAAAAATTCCTATGAAGGGTTTGGACTTGTAACCTTGTGAGTCATTTTATGCGTGCAAATAATGTTTATATTATGTGCATATTATTTTAAATATGACCTTGATAAATCCCTGATATATATATATGTATATATGTTTGTATGTATGTATGTATGTATGTAAGTATGTTTTTTTTTTTTTTTTTTTTTTGTAAATTGTGGTACAACCCTCTCTCTCTTTAACTCCGAAACACGAACCTTGACAAGCAAGGCCGCTGCGCGGAGAAATTAAGTTGAGCGCGGTACTTCCAGTGACATGGTGGGAGTCGAAATCCGAACCTCGCGCTTACAAAGCGAGCGCTCTTACCACGTCACCACTACCGCATGTATGTATGTTGAATGTTTATTCTTTATGTAAACATTTTAAAATGACAGGGGCAATGTTTTAGTTGACTCAGGGATCACCCATAAATTATGCTATACTAAATTTAATTCATAAACAAAAAAATGAAGATCACAAGTTTTTCCTTGTGATCTTTAACTAAAAGCAAAGTTCTTTTGAGTTTTTAACTAAAACCAAAAGTCATTTGAGCTTTCTCTTAAAACCACGATTGATTGCCACACAGAAGAACAAAAATGATCTCCGTTTTTTTTAGATAAATGTAGCATTGTGTAATTTATGGGCAATCCCTTATGCAAATTTTATCTTTTATGTTTTTTTTACTTTTAGCAATTATCAGCAAGTCTAAATGAAAAAAGCAAAGAGGTAAAATGTTTTATCAAATTATATCAAAATAATATATTAGGTTTCATAAAATTTAAATGTTTAAAATTTTTAAATACAATATAAATTTTTTCTCAACTTTTTTTTTTTAGTATCATGGTTTAAAATAACCTATTCAGATGGTTAAAATTGTTTTACATTTTAGATGTACATTAAATAGATTTTTATTATTTAAATGAAAACCCAGAATTTATGTGTTTTTAGAGTAAATTATTGGAAATTGAGCTCAATATTAAAGAAGATACCCTTAAGAATGCAAAGGAAGAACTTTATCAAGCAAACAGTCATGCAAACTATGATTTAAATGTAACTTTAAATATTTATGCTATCATTTTATTGAATGTTTTTTTATGCTGCCTTCATTTGGGTAATTTAATTTTTCTTCTAATGACTAGTTTGTTTAGAGTTTTATTGTTTAAAGAGAATCCTCTTTGCTTTTATTGCTTAGAGATAATTTTCTTTGCTTTGCGGGATTCAAGTATTAAAATAATTTTTTTTTCAGTTTTTGAGCTTTAAAAATGGTTTAATTTCACTAATTTAAAATATTTTTGTTTTAAAAAATATACAAAATAGATAATGTTTATTAACACAATCACCCTTTGTTTATTAACCAGCAAGCCACGATCACAGCTTTTCCATTAAAGTGTGGCAAGCTACAATTGTGGCTTTAAAAACTGATCTTTAAAATTATGACTTTTTTTGCAAAAATTATTGCTTTTTATAAATATCATTCATTATGTATACAATGAGGGCCTCAATTTTTGTTTATAAATTATCTAGATGTTATAAAATGAAAAATGGTATGCAAATCTCAAAATTGTTTTTTTTCTTCCATTTTCGGTTTTTTTATTGAATTTTTCTAAACATTATTTGATTTTATCAAGCAGCCAAAGGGTAAAGACTGTCCCATAACTCGGGCATTAAAAGATTATTTTAATAAAAAACTTGAATAAAGATTGCATAGTTTACCAGATAATTACGAGAGAAAAGTAGGCAGACTTAAAATTAGTCTTTAAATTTTTTTATTAATCAGTAACTTGTTGCACATAAATATTAACCTATGTCTATATTGATGTATAGTGATAGATTGTCCTATGCTTGTGTATAATGTTTTGTGTTTAGGTTTTTAATATTAGTATAATCTCTAATGCTTCCATTTTGTATTTTTTAGAAATTTAATACACAACTGTTACAAAATGAAAAAGAAATTGAAGTATGTTTGTTTATATATATATATATATATATATATATATATATATATATATATATATATATATATATATATATATATATATATATATATATATATATATATATATATATATATATATATATATATATATATATATATATATATATATATATATATATATATATATATATATATATATATATATATATATATATATATATATATATATATATATATATATATATATATATATATATATATATATATATATATATATATATATATATATATATATATATATATATATATATATATATATATATATGTAAAATTCAGTTTCATGGTATTTAAAATAAGTTATATTTCATATATTATGTAGTTTTTTAATAATTTTAAGATATTAAAATTGATTGTTATTTTAACTGATTAAAATATGTATTTATACCTAAAACCTAATGTCCTTTAGTATTGCTTTTTAATGTCTTTTAGTATTGTTCTTTAGTATAGTTCATTTTCAAAGGTTTTGGATGTTAACTTTTGTTGATGTTCTATTTAAATTTTTCAAAATTTTTTATTTTGATTTATCTCCCTAAGGCTAAGAAGGTCACTAGAGATTAGGAGGCTACTTAGTTGAGAGAAAGACAAGTTGACTTAGTTGCGCAGAGAAACAAGTTGAATACAAATTATTGTTTTTTATCCTAAGTAAGCAATATAATAAAATCAGTTGTGAGTTTTACTGTTAATTTAGCTTAATTAATGCAACGCATTGATAAATCTCTTTTCTCTGTTGTAGTCCTGTGGTTGTAGCCATGTTTCTGGTTCACTAAAGAGAAAATCATTACTGGGTTATATTGCAGGGAAAAGGTTTATCAAATGTTTTTTTAAAAATGTCTAACTCTTTGATCAGAAAATTAATATATTTTGAATACGCTTCTTATATCTTTTTTTTTTTGTAAAGCTTTAGAAGCCAGAAGTCTTTTATCCTCAATAGGGAATTAGAAAAAAGTCTTTTTCAAAATTTCTATAAACATACCTGTAACGTTTATTCCACTTAATGAGGTCGAGTAAAATGAATGAAATTAAAATTTAAATGAAATAAAAATAAAAAGTATTGAAAAATTAGCATAAAATATTTAAAAATAAAATTTATCAAAAATCAAAATATAATATATTGTGACAACTTAGTTCGATTGTTCAAAAGTTTAACTAAAAATTTTAAAATAGGACACCTATAGTGACACTCTTGGTTTTTAAGGAAAAAATATATATTAAAAAAAAGCTATTATGCTTTTAATATTTGAATAATAAGGAAAGATGATAAAATATTTTTTAAAAACTCATTTTTTGTGTGTGAAACAACAGCTAAATATAATGATTATTTTTAATAGAAACTGAAGTTACTGCTTGAAGCAAAAGACAAAGACTTTGTGGTAACCTTTAATTAAAATTAATAAAAATATTAAGAAACATTTAAGAAAAATAAACAGTATAATAAAGTTACTACTTTATTACACTATTTATAATAATGTTGTAAAAAGTAAAGTTACTAATTATTTGTTGTTTATAAACATATATTTATATATTAATGGAATGGAGTATATAGATTAATTGGATTATTATTATTTTTTGATTCTGGTTCACTCCCAACAAGGCTGCAAGCAACCGTTATTAAATTCGGAGTTACTAGGAAAAAAAAAAAAATTATAGAACAAGGAAACGGTTGACAGAAAACTTAAAAAGTTGAAGGTTGTATGATTAAGAAAAACATGAAGATGGGAGAGAGTTTCAAAGAGGTAAAGTGCGAGGAAAAAAGCTAGATGAATAAAAGTTGGAGCATGTAGGGACATATACAGTAAAAGAATGAGACTTCGATGATGACTAGTCTAGCGAGAATTAGTTTTGGCTGGTGGAACTAGAGATGAAAGCTCCTTTGAGCAGCCGCCATGATAGTATTTGTAGAAAAGAGAAAGAGATGCAACTTTACAACGATGGGAAAGAGGCTCAAGCTTAGCAGATAAAACGGGTCTAACTATGTTTACATTGCGTTTTTGGACCTTGTCTAGAAGAGAAGGAGCATCATTAGAAGAACCAACTTAAATGACAACAGTATTCCGTACAGGAATGAGTAAGAGATTTGTAGAGGTAGAGAATGGAATTAGGAGAGAGAAAATGGCAAGCACTATAAAGAGAAGCAACCTTAGCAGATGCTAATTTAGCAATCAACTGTATATATGATTCCACGAAAGGTCAGTAGTAAATAATAATCCAAGAAGACATAAAGAAGAGGACTCAGTGAGAGAGTTGCCATTCATCAATATAGGAATATTGACATTACTGTGATAGTTGTTTGCAGTAAATAACTGAGTTTTGTTGGTTAGGTTAAAATTTACAAGCCACTGTGAGCCCCAATCAGTTACAGAATGAGATCAGATTCAAGATCGGCTGCCTGTTCTAAGCAATCAAAAAGAGAAAACTTTTTGTCAAGACAGTATAGTATAAAGTTTAGTCATCAGCAAAAAGAGCAGCTTTAGATGTAAGGTTATTGGGAAGATCATTAATGTAGATAAGAAACAAAATAGGACCAAGGATAGAACCTTAAGATACCCCAGAAGTTATTGGAAATAAAGAGGAGTGTTGGCCTTTGCTATATTACATATCAAAAAAACTTTTTTTTTTCAAGGGGCTCAGAGATAAGGAGGGGCCTGGGAAAAAATCCCCAACCCCTCTTGCCAGTCCGACCCTGCATATGAAACAAGTTTATGGAGAAGATCAACATGCCAAACTTTGTCAAAAGTCTTAGATATGTCAAGAGCAATAGCCCTAGCCTTTCCATTTTTATCTAATGCGCAATAAAATCTTTCAGTCACAGCAGTTTGCAAGTCAGCTGTGGAGCAAGAGGATCGAAAACCATATTGATTGTCTAACAGCAAGTTATTTGACTCATGGGGTGTGAGAAATTTGTTTATCAAAGACTTAAAGATCTTGCTAATAACAGAAAGAAGACTGATTGGATGATAATTGGAGGGATCAGAATGTTTACCAGAGTTTTTGAAAATTTGAACAACAGATGCCATTTTCCAGCAGGCAGGAAAACAAGATTCAGTCAAGCACTTATTAAATAGTTTAGAGAAAATTGAAGATAGTTCTGGAGAACAATTTTGTAAGACTGTGACAGGAATGTTATCTGGACCATAAGTTGTAGAAGAGTTTAATTGAGATATGACTTTAACAATGGAAGCTGGAGTGATTTGCATGTCTAACAATAGGTTAACCTTTTTAATTGGAATGGAAGGAAGAGAATGGCCATAAGATTTATGAGTCGAATTAGAAGAGAAGTTCTTTGCAATTAGTTCAGCCTTATTCTTGGGAGAGGTAATAAGACCAGTCCCATGAATGAGAGATGGAATGTTGGACCTTCCTTTGATAACAGCAGTGTGTAAGATTTTCCATAAGTCTGTAGAGCCTAACTTCTGAGATAAGATACAAGATTTAGTAAACTGAGAATAATGGAGCTTAACATCTGACAGCACCTTTTTACATCGATTTTTTACAATAATAAATAGCTGTTTGTTCTCATGAGAGTTGTTCTTTTAAAAAAGATGAAAGAAATGATTATGAGTAGATATAGCACAAGAGGGTGAAAACCATAAAGTAGAATGAGGCTTGACTTGGAACTGACAAGAAGGAATAAAAGCATCCATTCCTGTCTGAATCCAGGAGGTTACGTAAGAGGCACATTTTTCAGCTGAGTCCTTGGGCTGACATCAGCCCAAGGACCATCGTGAAGAAAATCTTAAAAAGATTGCTAATTAGCTTTAAGGTAGTAGTAAATAATACAATGATAAGGTGAGTTCGAAAATGAAGTACGAGATAAAAGATTTAAAGAGATCATTGCATGGTCAGAACCACCCAAGGAAAAAAAAGGAGAAACTGAACTCAAGCTAGGATCAGAGACCAGTTACCAGCCAGCCTCAGAACCATTAAACTGAGTTTTAGAGCTTTACCCTCGCTAGAAGATAGGAAGAGGAAGAGTTACATATCCGCTATCAAGGAGGCACAAGCAAGAACCTATGAGAAAAGTCAAGAAGATCCAGCATTCAACATCCTAGGCAGGAGACAATGTAACACAGGTTTACATCTAGGCCAGCCTAATAGATAAAGAAGGGGTTCGAGGCTAATCACCAGAATTATTCTGCTTAACCTTAAAGTCTTCGCCTCAGAGGTTTCCTGCAAGACAGTAGCTGGATGCAATTAACATCTGCCCAAGATGAGTATTTTTACCAAGACACCATCTTAGCCTTATTCAACCAAGAGCCTCAAGGCAGGGGATTTTTAAGTTGGGGTTTGTTTCTCCTAGCTTTGCCTGAAAAAGCACCCTCTACAAGGCAGCAGGACATGGGGCCGGTGGTACTGCTTTACATAATACTAGTAGCAGGGTGATCATGATAATCCTGAACCTGACCTGACCTGACCTGGAATAGTTAAAAGGAGCTACTTCCTGTCATCAGCACTTTAAAGCATTGGGCATGATATTTTGGAAATGCATTAGGAAAAATATTACACATAACAAAATACTAGAGATAAGGGTGAGAGTAAGTTTAGTAGATGGAGTGTCTAGTTAGTTAATGAGCTCACATTGCGTCAAAACAAATTTAAACATTTAAACAGAACATTTAAACATTTAAACAGAACACATAATTATAAATAAATTAAATAATACATAGGTTATTGTTACAGGTATACATATATTTAATGTTAATCTAATTTTATAGTAAATGTCTTTATCTCAACATTTATTTCAATTCAGCCAAACAGAGTTTTTTTGTTAAAATGTTTAAATACAGTTTTTTATCAGTTTACTCGATAGGTTAAAATGTTTAGAAATGAAAATGGATTTGAAGTTAAAATATAAAATTTACTTTATAGATTGTTAGTAAACAACTTCAAGTAAATGAAGATGAAATCAAGGTTTTTTAAATTAAAATCATATTCATTAGAAAATCTTATTTGTTAACTGATATCTTTATTTATTTTACTTGTATCCTTATTGAATATTATTTTGTTAAATGTGATTTGATATTCTTCAGACACTTCATTTGCAGCTACAAAGTAAAGATAAAGATTTATTGGTATGTATTGAAAATATGTTTGAAAACTTTGAAGTTAACTCAGACTAAAGTTATGCATATTATATTCATTAGAGTATTCAAAAAAAAAAAAAAAAAAAAACTTGAACAAATTTTTCTATTTCATTATAATAGTTATTTTTCATTTTTAATATGTAATATGGATTTATAATACAGATTTTAAAAACAATTGTGTGCATGTGTTGTTTTAGAAAAAAACTTTTTTTTTCTAAAATAACTTGTATTATTTAATTGATTTTGAAAAAAAATCTGATTTTCTTCAAAATCAATTTCAAGGGCAAAAGTCCTTATAAGCTGCAGATAGTATGAAAAAAAATTTTTTTAATAAAAACTTATTAGAAAGTTAATATAAGTTTTTTAGGAATTAAGAAATTTCTTAAGAATTAAAAAAATTAAAAAATTTACTCTAATTTTTTAGCAAGTCATGAATATCCATTTTAAAGGTTTTTTTCTGCTTGAAGCAAAAGACAAAGACTTTGTGGTAACCTTTAATTAAAATTAAAGGTTACCACAAAGTAAAAATAATTACAAATATAGTAAAAATGTACACTTAAGAAAAATAAATAGTTATAAAGTTACTACTTTTTTGTTGTTATTGTTAAGCATAAATTTATACATTAATGTAATCGGACATAGATTAATGGAATATATATGTAATGTAGAATTTATGTAATGTTACAATTTATGTAATCTTTTTTTTATAGATTAATGTCTTTATCTCAACATTTATTTTAATTTAGTCAAATAAAGTTTCTTTGTTAAAATGTTTAAATATAGTTTTTTTTTAGTTTACTTGATAGGTTGAAATTTTTAGACATAAAAATGGCTTAAATGAAGTTAAAATATAAAATTTACTTTATAGATTGTTAGTAAACAACTTCAAGTAAATGAAGATGAAATCAAGGTTTTTTAAATTAAAATCATATTTATTCATTAGAAAATCTTAGTTGTTAACTGATATCTTCATTTATTTTACTTGTATCGTATTGAATATTATTTTGTTAAATGTGATTTGATATTCTTCAGACGCTTCATCTGCAGCTACAAAGTAAAGATAAAGATTTAGTGGTATGTTTAAAATTGAAAATATGTTTAAAAACTTTGAAGTTAACTGAGACTAAAGTTATGTATTTTATATTCATTAGAGTATTGAAAAAAAATTTTTTTTTTTATTTCATTATAATAGTTATTTTTTATTTTTAATATGTAATATAGCTTTAAAATGCAAATTTTAAAAACAATTGTGTGCACGTGTGGTTTTAGAACAGTTGTATACACATGTTTTTTTTTTAGTAGCCGTGTTTTAACTTAATCATTTTTAAGTTTCATTATGTTGTTTATGATTTCAATCATGTTATTATGATTTTTGTTGTTGTTGTTTATATTTTGACATTAATTTCCTTTAATGCTGTGTTTAGAAAAAAACTGTAAATGTTTCCAAATCTTGTGGAATCATGCTCTTAATGAGTTTGTCAAATTTTTGATTAAGACAGAAAAAAATGTACAAAATTTAATTCATTTGCCTGCAACAAGAACAAGCAAAATTTGTTTAAAAAAAATTTTTTTTTTCTTAGTAATAAAAGTCGTTCACATGACTTAGCTTTTGTGAAAATCACATAGTTTTATTTTCTACATATATGTTATACTATAGTTCTGACTCAAAACAGCATCAATACAATATATATATATATATATATATATATATATATATATATATATATATATATATATATATATATATATATATATATATATATATATATATATATATATATATATATATATATATATATATATATATATATATATGTATAATGTCTAGCAAAAGTTTCCATTTACTTTGCAAAAATAAAAATAAATAAAAAACAAATAAACTAATTAAACTTTTAATTTCATTGCAAACAATTACAAACTAATCAATGTTTTTAAAACTTTGATAAAAATAAACAAGTTTATGCAACATAATGCAAACAAAAATTTTATTTTAATTAATTTTTTGTTGAAAAATCCACCCTTTGTTTTCCTTACTGCACTTACAAGTTTTGACATATGTTTGATTAAATTATCTAAATAAATTAATTAAAGAAAATTATGTTTTCTTTAGTAGTTGCTGTTTTTGGGCGCCCAAATTTAAATTCAGCTGCCATAATTGCACTGTGGTAAATGATAGTGATTTACCACAGTGCAATTATGGGCAGATGAATTTAAATTTGGGTGCCCAAAAACAACAACTACTAAAGAAAACATTGCTAAAGATCACCAAATGGTTCAAAAATGGCTATAGTGAGAGAGATAGCACAAGTTGTGAGCATGTCAAAAGAAAGTGTTTGTAACATAATAAATCAAAATTTAGACATAAAAAAGCTGTCTGCATTATTAACTTGCGGAAAAGAGGCTACATTAGCAGAAAAAGAAAATTCTTTTTCACCAAACCCTCAGTCGGTGTAGCAGCAACGCCCTTGCATGTTCTCCCTATATCAGTATGATATCTTGATATTTAAGTAGGACACGTTGGTTTAGTCATATAGATGCACTTAATCCATTATAATTAGGGGTGAGCAAAACCGGATATATAGTCCAGTTTTTTAAAATTTGGATAAGGTACCCAATTTTGCTCACCCGTAGTTGGAATTTTTTCTAGGGGTGAGCTCACCCCTAATTATAATAGCTTTTTGAATAAGTCATTAAATCTTTTGAAACATTTTTCAATCATGAATCAATTGCAACATCAACTATTACAAAAAAAATTTAAAAGCAAAAGCAACATGGAATTAAAATTATGTTATTTTATGTCATATTAATATAAGAAACAAACCTTTAAAAGGAGTAGTTAGGGATTTGTCTCCTAGAATTATTTCATTTGAAAATTAGAAAAACTTTGTGAAAAAATATAAATCTATAGCAAATTTTAAAGTTTTTATTGAAAAAAAAGTGGAAAAATAACAACTATGGTAAGTGAAACAGAATTTAAAAACACACTTATAAAAGACACATTATTTTTGTATAAATAAATTTGATAGTTGATCATTTTGATCTACTAAAAAAGTTCTATAATAATTTAGTGAAAGTTAAGTGTAGTGAAGAACTTAAAAAAGTTGTCTCCATTTAGAAAATTAACTCAGAGAGAATAGAGTGGAAGTTATAAACAAAATTGATGTTGAGAAATTTAGTACATTATTCAATTGGACTTGGCTGAGTTCTGATTTCAAATCAAAATTCAAGTTACTTGAATTTATGTGCGACAAAAATTTAAAAAGTTGTTTACCAAATTTATTTATATTTAAGATTTATTTTGCCCATGTTTTTGTTGCAAGTGCAGAAAAAAAACTTTTTCTGCACTTTCTTAATGAAACTTAAATTAAACCAAATGCTTTAGAAAATATATTTGTTTAGGAAATAAATAAATTGTGTGTTCTTTCAATGATATTCATTGAATGGAATCTAATGAAAGATTTAGAGACAAGTGAATTAATTAGAAAATTTGCTGCAATTGAATCACAAAAACTTGTGTTATAATTTTTTGCATAAATCATAATTGAATAAATATAAGTATTGTGATATTTTATTGTTTGCTTTTTTTGTTTTTTAAATTTATTTTGTTTTTTGGAATATAGGGAAATGGTTTTATAATAGAAAGAATATTTTTTTAATGTTATATGTTTGCATTATGACATTTATAATATATTCTTTTCATTTGTTTATGACAAAAATAATCAGTTTATATATATATATATATATATATATATATACATACATACATACATACATACATACATACATACATACATACATACATACATACATACATACATACATACATACATACATACATACATACATGCATATATACATACACACACACTGAGAGAAATATGTAGATGGATATATAAAGATATGGATATATATAAAGATATAGATTGGTTTATAGATATAGATGGATATATTATTCTATTTTGTTTGATTGATTATAGTTTTTAGCCAACAGCAAGTTAGAACTTCAACGTTTGCTTGATGAGTATGATCAAAGGTTTATAGAAGAACAAATGAAGCGTGATGAGCAGCTTGCAGAGGAAGTTGCAAGATTGAAAGTCAACAAAACAAAAGCAGATTTATCAAGACAGTTAAAAATTGCTGAACTGGAATCACTGTGTCAAAAACTCGAAAGAGAAAAGGTTCATTTTGAACTTAATTATCAAAAATTAAAAAAAGATTTTGAAACTTTCCAAGAACTTTCAAATATAGAAAAGAATCAATTAGTTCTGGAATGGGAAAGTAAACTCAAGCAAGAAAAAGATTTTCAAAAGGTAATTTTTTATATAAATATATCATATATATTTTAATAGAAAGCATCTTTAGCTTTTTCAATTAATTTATGCTTTAGTGTTTAATTTATGCTTTAGTTGTTTTACTTAAATATTTAGCACTTATTTAGTGTTGTTACTTAAAGTAATATGATATTACTAACAATTTAATACAGTTAGCAAATTTAAAATTTTTGTATATTAATTTTTTTATATTTTTTTTATGCTGTAAGCAAAAACACAATGAAGATCAAAAGAAAAGCGAAGAATGGCTTGCTGAAGAAATATCAAAATTTAAAGTTAGTAAAGCAAAAACAGAAATATCAAGACAATTAAAAATTGCAGAACTAGAGTCGTTGTGTCAAAAGCTTGACAAAGAAAAGGTTCAAGTTGAGCTCAGTTATCAAAATATGAAAGAAGAACTAAAAAAAGTTCAAGAATTGTCTACTAAAGAAAAGAAACAACTTGAAGAAGAATGGGAAAAAAAACTGAAACAAGAGAAAGATTTACATATGGTAAATATTTGTAAATTTTAAAGTAATTGTTTTAAGTTTTGTAATTTCAATAAAAAATATTATATTTAAACTTTAGTCTTTTGTGTATGATCCTCTATTTTTCTGATTGAACAGTTTTATATTTTGATCTTCTTTGACTCAATTAATTGACAAATTAAAATTTTTCCCAAAAACATCCCCAGTAGTACACTACTTGTTTCTCTGCATAGAGACTTTGCTTGTCAATGTTTTTCAATCAATTCTTGCTTGACTTGTCATTCAGTCAAGTAACATCTTTTTACTGTAACTGTTTCTTCACGCTCAAAAGCTTTTATTCATTTTTTTGGTGTGCTATAGAGTTTTCTCCTGTTTGTTTTTTTCCTGACCTTTTTTTTTTTCTTTTTTAAAAAAAAAATATAAACCTACAAAATTTGCAGTTTTTTAAGTTTTCTGTCAACAATTTTTTTACTCTTTAAAAATATTTTTTGTTTTCTGGCAACTCCCAACTCTTTTTTTTTTTTTTTTTTTTTAAAAAAATATAAACCTCATCATCAAACTCATCATCTTTACTTTAAACTTTTATGTGAAATGCAGTTGCAGGATTGCTTGAAAATTTACTTTAAATGTTTATATAAAATGCAGTTGCAGGAAAACTTGAAAGTGTAAAGCAGCTGATTTTTTCTAAAATTTAAAAATCATTAAAACAGAAATAGTAAAGAATCACTTGACTTGATTAAAGGTTGTTACCACTTAAGGGTTGTCCACAAATTACATCACAGTCAAGGGGTTGAGAGGAAAAAGGTTAGTGGTTTTGTGACATCATGTATAGGGCTAGTTACTAAAGAGTTACAATGTTGTGATAAGGAAGGAGGGGGTCAAAAAACAGTCAAAATATGCATGGCGTAATTTATGGATCCCTTATCATTATAAGTTGTTTTAAATTTAAAACAACATAATTGTTTTATTAAACTAAAAGACTTTTTTTCCTCAGAACCTTCAAGAATGTATCAAAGACCTAACTGAAAAGATTAACATTAATGAACAAGAAATTAAAGTAAGTTATTTAAATTACAACTTTATAAATAATTATAATTACACTGTAATTAATTGTACTTTTTTTAAGCATGCCTAATTTACTGCTACCTTATGTATTTAAAACTGTTAAAACACAGAAAGTTTTTAAGGAAACTATTATACCTTCTATATCTTATAAGTTTGAGCTAAAGAGAATTTTTTTATTTTTATTTTCAGAGAATTATATGTAATTGGGGTGATGGAGTGAGGGGGAGGAGGTTTGGAAGGTTATTCTTTTTATTAACCAAAGTATTGTTTTAAATTAAATATCTAGCCAGATTTCCAAATAGTTAATATAGTTAATAAATAAAATGGATAAATAAAGTTGTTAAATAAGTCTAACAAGAGATTGAAACTGATAGAAAATTTATCATCATCATTTTTTTGTAAAAAACTTTTAAGATTGTTCTTCATCAAAACTTTTGAAATTTCTATTTATTTTTTAACTTTTTATTTAATAATTTATTTTTTAAAAGTTTTGAAATTTCTATTTAACTCAATAAATAGAAATTTCAAAAGTTTTGAAATTTCTATTTATTGAGTTTGTCAAGTTATGGGGCCTCTCTAGCTTTGTTGAATCGATTAAAGAATTTGTGGCCTCATATTTTATTTTGGTTGTTCTCTGGTACCAATTATTTAATTTCTTTCGTAGATGTTTTTTTTCCCAGCATAGCAGCAATTTACTTTTTTACCTTGTCTGATTTGGACTTTTACTCATTTTTATAATTTAATTCAGTACTCTTGTTTTTCTGTCTGGTGAAAAATGGAATCTGTGATTCCAATTTATTTAAACATTTGTTATTAAAAGGGTCATTGAGTTTTTTAATTAACAAACTTCAAATAATAATATAGGATTCGGAAATTTATATATATATATATATATATATATATATATATATATATATATATATATATATATATATATATATATATATATATATATATATATATGTATATATATATATATATATATATATATATATATATATGTATATATATATATATATATATATATATATATATATATATATATATATATATATATATATATATATATATATATATATATATATATATATATATGTATATTAGGGTGGGTCACTTTTAAAAAACTTTTGAATTTAGGTTAGGCTGGGCATTTTTATTATGTCTTTGACCATATGATACTGAGAACCAATTCTCTTTTTATTTGCATTTAATGTTTAGTCAGGTAATTTTTAGCCTGAAAATTTATGTTTTATCATTAATATATCGTTTGTACAAAGTTATGAAAACGCTTTGCTACTACTCAATAAAATAAAGTCTAAAAAGATTCTTTAGCCTTATTTAACCTAGTTACATCTATAATATATTAAGTTACAATAAAAATTACAATTTTATAGTATATTAAGTCAATACGCGTAATAAGACATTAAAATATTGATAACAGCATTTTTCTGCATATTTTTCTAAAATAAATTGTTTACTCATAATAAAAAGTTAAAATACTGATTACAAAATTTTCATTGGCACAAAGCAGGCATCAGCTCTCTATGAGCCATTATAGCCCTTATGAACCCGTCTATTCTCTCGGCGTGTGGTGCCGAGACAAGAGGCGGGTTATATAAAATTTAAAATATAAAATTTTGTAATCAGTATTTTAACTTTTTATTATGAGTAAACAATTTATTTAAGAAAAATATGCAGAAAAATTCTGTTAACAATATTTTAATGTCTTATTACGCGTATTGACTTAATATACTATAAAATTGTAATTTTTATTGTAACTGGTGACCTCTTTCACAATGCATTCAATAGATTGACTGTGGATAGGAAAGTTTGGTACAATCATTGGATTATTAATAAACTGTATAATATCATCTTTCATCAAACAACCCGTTCACTGATCTCCTTTGTTTCCCAATTGATTAAATCTATTTAATAGACTATTTGATTCAGTGTTAATCTCTTCTATTTTTGCATTTTCTGTCTCCAACCTCCTTATTTTTTCTAACATCAATTATTTTCTGCACTGCAAATCTCAATTCTCCTTCATCAGAACTACAGAGCATTGTCTGAAGAATACATTCATTATGTGGATTCCAGCCAGAGGAGCAGACATGCAGTATCCCTCACAAACTTCTTCTGTTTTTTTACCAAGGCTAGTTGTTTAAGGATATGACATAGACCTTGAATCCAGCTATGTTTAGTCTAAAGTCAATTAATTTTCTTTAGCGTAATAACAATTGTTTTATAATTATTAAAGTAAATTATAGTATTTAAGTAAATTATTGTATTATATCTTTATTTACATAACAAAGTTTATTATCTTAAGATCAAACCACATAATAGAATAAACATCCATGTTAAACTCTGTTAACAATTTCAAGTTTTGTAGATCTTTGTTTTCTAAACCATGCTCTGAGCACCAGATTTGAAGTAGTCTATTTGCAAAATTTAACCATCTTGAATGATTGTGTGGATCAATGAATCTCCTTTAAGTCATCAGGAAAAACACCTGATGCTATTGCATTATATATTCTGTATAAATACTTCTGATCTGTAGACAATAAATCTACAACTTCCTTCTCGAGATGAATTAGGTCTACAACAAAATCAAGCTGAGGAATGTATGTCAAAATGGGAAGATTTGTTGCTATGTTAATAAGTTTTCCAATGTTTCCTAAGAATCTATTTTTAGATAAAGTTTTTCCATCTAAAGCTAACATTAAATGCCTAAGTGGCAATTAGTTAGTATGTAACGCACAAATAATCCAGATAAGTTTAAATCCTAGTTTTTTCTCTAAAAATTGAATAAATCCACCCTTCCTACCTATAATAATTTTTTTTTTGAGTAAAAAAAAAAGTACACAAAATTTTAAACTACTATTTAAAGAAATAAAAATAAAACCTGTGGTAAGGTTGTTTAATTCTCATCCAATTGCAACTAATTGTTTTTTAATGTCATGTGCTATTATCCAATCATATAGTTGTTCAGCAATATGTTCAGCAGGTGTTCGAGCTTCTCTCTTCTCTAAATTATTTGCAAAATGGAATAAATATTTTCCACTAGGTTCAGAACAGACACTATAATGATCTTTCTTGATCTCCCTAGGGTAAGGTTTACTATCATTGCACATAAGGTCTTTTCTACCATCGAACATTATACATTGTATGCCCTCTTCCTTTACTAGATTGCTATGTCTCTCCTTACAGACTTTCATTACTCTTTGCTTTGATCTCTCTATTTTTTTAAGATCTAGAGCTAGGTGTTTATCAAGTATATGATCTTTCAAAAAACCTGCATCTTTGGCTACTATTAATGTTGCAGTGCCTATTGATGCAGTTGCTCTGTTACTTGTACTAAATTGTAATTGTGATGCCGACAAAGTAATATGATTTACATTTAAGGTATTTTGCTGAGAAACTTTTTTTATTTCTGGTGAATAAACATTGTCATTATAATCATTGTCTGACAGCATTGTCTGACTCCACATCATTTTGAGATAATACATCAGAATACTGTACAGTCTCTGTCCTAACTCTCTTTGATTTGTTCTGCTTTCTTTGATGATACTTTTTTTGTCTGGATACTTCTTTTCTATTAACTGAACCTATTTACATTCCAATTTTAGAACCAACTTTATCCCTCTATGACTTTAAAAATTTAAGTTCAATAATAGGAATTTTATTTTCCTGAGAACATTTGCAAACAATATGAAAAACTTGGTTGCAGCCATAACAATCAGATTCTTTGCTTGATTTTATTTAACGTTTACACTTAGCTATTTCAAACAGTGTACCTAAGATTATTTTATGATCAGAAAGTTGCTTAGATGATCCCCTACCTAACGCCAGATTATATGCTTTTTTCCAGTCATATATGATTCTTTCTTTTCTCTTTTATCAGAGATAATGGGTATAAGTAGATAAGCTTTTAGCCATGAATATTTTACTGAGGTTCAAAACTTTTCAGAAGTTAGCCTTAAATTTTGGCTATTTTCTTCAATCCTTTTAAGAAAGAAACCGTATCTTAAAACATCTCTTAAAGTTGGTAGTTCTGACTCTAATAACATTTTTCCTGTACCAATTTGCTTTGTTAATTTACATTTAACTTTATCACGAGTGTTTTGAGCCATTCTTTATAACTGTAAACTTATTTCTAAACAATAAATATATGCGTTATTATTTCTTCGTTTTAATAACTAATAAAACTGTTACTAGTGGTCTGACTTTGGCATACATAAACAAAATTTTCAGAAATACGTCATAAATACATTTTTCAAAATTAACTATTACCCATTTCTATGGTAAAGTACCCCCTTGCTATAATTTTGGATCATATTTTGACATTTTTATTGATAATATAGGTGTAGTTTAAAATATTTATTAGATTTAAAGTGGTTTGAAGATGATAGTAGTAAAAAAATCGACAAAACACTGGGAAAATTATATATTTATGATAAAACTAAAATTTTGAAGCTGAAAATTACCTGAATAAACATTAAATGCGAATAAAAGAGAATTGGTTCTCAGTATCATATGGTCGAAGACATGAGAAAAATGCCCAACCGAAGCTAAATTCAAAATTTTTTCAAGTGACCCACCCTAATATATATATATATATATATATATATATATATATATATATATATATATATATATATATATATATATATATATATATATATATATATATGTATGTATGTATGTATGTATGTATGTATGTATGTATGTATGTATGTATGTATGTATGTATGTATGTATGTATGTATGTATGTATGTATGTATGTATGTATGTATGTATGTATGTATGTATGTATGTATGTATGTATGTATGTATGTATGTATGTATGTATGTATGTATGTATGTATGTATGTATGTATGTATGTATGTATATATTATATATACATACATACATACATACATACATACATACATGCATACATACATACATACATACATACATACATACATCTATACATATATATATTATATATATGTATAGATAGATAGATATTTGGGTAATATATATATATATATATATATATATATATATATATATATATATATATATATATATATATATATATATATATATATATATATATATATATATATATATATATATATATATATATATATATATATATAAAAGAAGCAATATAAAAAATAATAAATAACCTAGTTATAATCAAAATTATTTTTAGTTGTTAATTGTTTTCATGTTTTTAGAATCTTCATGAGCTTCAGAAGTGTAATATAGAAGAGAAAAAAAAGTTAATTGGTATTAATCAGCATTTTGTAACTGCTGAAGATCAATTAAAGGTATATTTTAAAAATTAAAATAAAAGTTATGTTAACTTGATAGTAGACCATGACAAAGCTTTGTTAGCACATGTATCAAACTGAATTTTTTTTTTCAGCCATTTTACATCATTGGTTTATTTTTATTTTGATAGTCAAAACATGATAATTTCTGTGAATAGCTTGATAGATAAATAATTTGAACAATACTTGGTTGTAGTTATTTTCGTATTTACTTATATAGAATCAATTGAGTTCATTAATGAGTCTATGAAAAAGACCAGAAAAGTTGAAAAAGTTATGTTGTTTTTTTTAAATTGAAAAATACATCAACAAAAATTTAAAGCTTAGAAGCCATCCATCTTCATTCCATATGTTGTTCTTAATATTCTCCTGATTATTTTTGTTTTCACCCTTAACACTTTTTCCTCTATTAAAAAAACACTTTCAGATAAGGAAGTTTTTGTAGAAATTACAAATACTTTTTTTTGCAAGTCTAAAAAAGCAAAGGATTTTTGTTTTGTTTTAAATTTTCTAATACTCAAGGGAGTCAAGAGTTGGAAGATGAGGTAACTCTTTTAGATAAATCTATTTCACAATAAGCCTCAGTTAATATCCAGGACTTAATAACATTTATTTTGTTACCTAATGATCTTCATTCAAATTGATGAATTGCATTTGGAGCATATAGTAGATGGATCTACTTCTACAATCTATGGACCTCTTTCTGTAAGAAGATCTTCTGCTAACTACCATCTTTTGATTGAGTGATAGTGAAGTCACCGCTAGTCCTTGCTTTATCTTTTTTTATAATCTTGTTGTTAACATTTTGTTATCATTAAATAAACTTTGTTTGAGGTTATAGCTAAATAATACTAGATAATTTTATTAATTACCATAAGTGTTTTGAGAATTTGAAAATAATTGAAAAACACAGGTTTTAATGCATATATTTGTTCAAATTTTCACATAATTTGATATAAACATAATTTTTATCACTAATAGAAAAATAAAATTTATTTTAAATGTAGCTAAAATGGTTACTAAATCATACTTTTTATGTTCATTTTGATTTTTTAAATTAACAATAACATGTTGTGTTTTACCATCAATCACTTTAATATCATATGTTTCCAAACTAGATTTCTAATAAATAAATAAATAAAAGAAGATAAATATTAATTACAAACTAATTGAATATATCATTTTTAGCAATTTGTAATTTATTACTTTACTAAATATAAAGACAATAGGGTTTTTAAATAGAAAATTAATAAATTACAAGTTTTCATTATTTTGTAAGAATTTGATTTTATTTAAGGTTAAATTAAATAAAAATAAAAAAAAGAAAGTTAGTTAAAAAATAAGAAAATATTTTACAATTTATTGTTAACTATTGTATTAATTATTATAATTTGTTGAAGAATTTACCAAGTTCTTTAAATTTATATTTAAACAATTTCATATGGCAAATTTACATAATTCTCTATTTTATAGAATCTTATAATTTGTGTTTGATAAGTATGAATCATAGAGATCTACTGAAGAAAAGTTTAGCTTTGTTAGTCCAATAAAATGATTTGTATTTTTCTATAGAAAGTGAATAGCCAACTTGTTGCAATGAAAAAGAAATATGAAAAAGCAGAAGAAAGTTTTAAAGAAAAATTAAAAGAAAAAGAAATATTGATAAGTGAATTGCAAAAGAAGAACTCAGTAAGTTATTTGTACTCTATTATTTTTTAAACTTGAAACAAGTTTCAAGCACATATTATAGTACTTAAAACAGCTATAAAAAGCTTTAAAAATAGTTTAATGTTGCTAAAAAAAGTAGCATAAAAGTATAAAATAATAGTATTAAAGTATAGTATAAAAATTGTATAGTATATAATAAACATATGTGTGAGTAACTATATAATTATTGTAAAGTATATAATATTTATTTACACAGATGTAACAAATTATTTGCACTAGTGAAATTTGAACATTTCTAACAGCATAAAACCAAATATAAAATATTTCAGAAATTATGTATTTTTTTGAAATCATGTATTTTTTTTAGATATTGCTATGTATTTCATGTCATTTGCTATGTATTTCATATTGCTATGTATTTCATATCGCTATGTATTTCATAATCATGTATTTTTTTGAGATATCGCAGAAATCATGTATTTTTTTGAGATAACGCTATTTTTAAATTTGAATGGTTTCATACATTGAACATTGCTATGAAACCTGGTGTCACTCAAAAAGAGTGTGGCAAAGTGCATTTTTCTATTAAGTTTTATCATGGGATTAAAGTCAGGATATGCCAAACATCCTTGCTTTTATTGTATGTTTGGTTCCGGCCAGTCAACTGGATTTTAATTCCACTCAATCATAGCCTGCTTGTGTTAATTTTGATTAATATAGACTTAATAATGTCTATCCTTCAAACTAAAGTTCGTCTAACTGTAAACAATAGAATGCACCTGCTATTTAAGCATAAGGACAAATGTGGCTCATGTAAGAATTTTTTCAGACAAATATAGTAAAAGAACGCACAAAAAAGTACAAGTCATTGAAAAGCATTTTGGTGACTGCCTTAACAAAGAAATGCTCACTAAATGCATATGGTCTTTAAAAAGGGACCACCAACATCTACAAATATTCAAACACTGTTTTAAATTATTATTTTATGTTCAATAGTTTGTATAATTTGTGTTAAGTAATTTCTTTTTTATGCATTTACATTTGTTATATTTTATATATACTGGTGAGAAAATTTTTAATTTTGTTATATCAGCACTGTTCCCCATTTTGACCGCCAGAATAAAAGTTGTGTCACTCAAACAAATTATGGTTTAATATAACACTTAGGACCATAGAAGTTGTTTACAATTGTTTTTAAAATCAAAATGACTGTGGTACATAACTTTTTTAAACTTTTTAAAGTGATTTTTTCTTGTTTGTATTTTTTTTATGTTTCAATTTTTTTGTATGAGTATTTTTTTTACACAATGTAAAAAGTTTTATTTAAATCTAATGATAAAAGTAAAAAAACAAATCATTATGACTTTTAAACAGACAAAAAAATATATAAATTTAAATATATGATAGTTACACTCAACATCTTGCCATTTTTGAAGTTCATTATTTGCGCCATTTTTAAATATTATTATTTTGCGCCACTTTGTACAAAGTCTTCTGAAAAACGATTTTGTTTTACAAAATTTTCGTTAGAGTATTTAGTTTTATGTTATTTTAATCTAAAAATAAGATGAGAAAGATCGAAAAATCTTATAAATCAAAGATTGAGTAAGAAATCTTTCTTAAGCTTCTGCAAAGTTCTTTTTTTTTTATCTCATATGTATTTTTTAATATATTTTTTTAATAAATGACTTATTTGTTTATTTCACTATTTTATATTTTTTATTTAAGTATATATAATACATTATACATATGCTATATATTATATGCAATACATGAATATCATTATATATCCTTATAAAAAATGCTATCCTTATTTAATTCAAAATAAATCTTTAGATATAAAAAAAATATCTGCTTAATATATTTATAATAATGTCAACTCCATCAGTGTTGTCCATCAAGTTTTCTAACAGGTTTGTTGTTGTTGTTGGGAGCAATTTGGAAAAAATTCAAAATCTCTACATTATGTAAATAACACAGTGGAAGAGTTTATGAAATTATGTGTTTCATAGATATTCGAAATTAATAGAAAATTTTCCAACAAATAAATGTTCAAGTTATCATAGGAATCTGTATTTGCTAATCTTAGAATTTTTATTCATTTTCCATTTTTTCTAATTTAATTTATATTTATAACAATTTTTTTTGGAATAATATTAGTTTTTGAGAATAATGGTACATTTGATGTACCATATTCTCAAAAAGAGAATAATGGTATAGTATAATGAGTTAATTTTGAACTTATATGTTTAAACGAATACGTTAATATTTATATAAATTATATTTTCAAGATTGTTTGGATAAAAAAAGCTGGCAGGATGAATGTTCAAAATAAATCTGACCCAGAAACTGAAATCAAAACTAAAAGGATTTTATGTTCAGACTGTTTTTCTAGCATTTGGAGCAATGCTATTTCCAACCTTATAAGTTTAGCTTTTGATCTTGGTTATCTTCAAGGTGAACAAGTTGCATCAGGAATACTTAAGAGAAAAATGGAAACTGACAAAATAGCAAATGGTTGCAACTTTTATATATCAACAAGAGGAAAACCACTGACTGTAAAAGTTGGTACACCTGAAAACAAAACTGCTAGGTGATCTGTCAGACAATTATCTGTTCAAATTGTACAAGAATTGCAAATTGTTTTAGAATTCTCACTAAGTAAAACAAAAGATATGATAGCAATTCTAAGAAAAGGTATGGATAAAAGATCATCCATTAAGTCAAATATCTTTGAAAAACTAAATGAAATGAAGAATCCATCTCAAAATTTTGTGAAGTTCAAAAGGTAATGTAGTATATAAGTATTGACTAATTACAAAATAACAAAGAAAAATATTTCTTTAAAATAATATTTGTTATTTAGATTGAGTTCTTGGGACCAAATGAATCTGTTCTTCTTAGAGATGTTGTATTTGTCCAAGAATCATCAAATTTTATTTTAAATATAATTGAACAGCAGAAAATGGATCCATTTAGTACTCTTGTACAGTTTTCTTTAGACTCAGGGGGTTTATTCTTGAAAGTTATTGTAAATATATTTGATCCTGAAGAGAATAATGTAAACTCTGAAAGGTTTTTAAACAATGGAGTTCAAAGATGCCAGATACTTGGAATCGCAGAAGATGTTCCAGAATCATAATACAATTTACAACTTATTCTAGAAAAACTAAACTTGTAGAATGTTCAATTCAGTATAGCCTTTGATTTAAAATGTGCTAATTCAGTATTTGGTTTATTATCTCATGCTGGTTTGAGAGCATGCCTTTGGTGTGAGGGACTCATAACAAAAGAGTCAGGAAAATTGAGATCTCTGGAAAGCTTGGATTATTGGTACTCAAAATATGCTGAGACTGGATTTAACAAAGCTCTTATGAAAGATTGTATGAATGTAATAAATCCCAGAGTTATCTACTTAGAAGAAGATCCTAAATCTTTAATACAGTACCTTGTAGCTCCACCAGAACTACACTTTATGATAGGATTTGTTTTATTACTAGGAACTCTTTTATTAGATCTATGGCCTGGTTTTGATGATTGGTTGAAATCAAAAAATATTCTTCAAAAAGGTTACCAAGGTAGAGGTTGGGATGGCAACAACTCAAATGCTATCATTAAAAATCTTGATGAATTAGAGCTTGCCATTAAAAGCACTTATTATCATCTCACTCCCTTTGTTGAGTGTCTTGAAAAACAGATCTGTTAAAGATGCTTGCTTTTGTAACACTTTAGAAACTGGATTTGAAGAATTTCCAAGTTAAAGGACTCATTTATCTCTACCAAGAGCAAGCTTTAATCTTAGGTAAAAAAGTTTGACTTGGAAAATTCATATTATTTTGTGCCATGTAGCTCCATTTGTCAAATATCATAGATGCAGTTTAGGAAGATATGCTGAACAATGTGGTGAAGCAATACATGCCAAGTTTAAACCAACCTGGTCTAGATATAAAAGAAGTGAAGGACATTCAAAGTATAGCGATAAACTTTTAGCAGCTGTTAAACATTTTGGAGGAAGTAGAATAACCTAATTTGTGTGTTTTTTTTTTATTTTTGTTTGAAAAAATAGAACTTTATATTTATTGTTTGACTATATTATTACTTGGTAAAAAATGACAATTAAAATAATGAAGAAATAAAACCTGATACATTTTTTTTAATGGTGTTTTCAGCTCTGAAAATGGTGGTAGACTTTTTTTTTTTTAACATCTTCGCTTCCAACAAGGCTGCAAGCAACCACTAATTAGTGTTGGAAGTTACTGGAAGAGAAAAGATGAAGATTGTAGAGCAAGATAACGATTGACAGACGACTTAAAAGATTGCAAATTATATGAATCAGGAAAGCAAGATGAAGGAAGTGAATTCCAGAGAACTGATGTTCGAGGAAAAAAACTAGACAAATAAGAGTTTTTGGAACACTTAGCAACAGTAACAGAAAAAAGAATGAGACTTAATTGAATGACGAGTAACACGAGAATGAATTTTAGTAGATGGCACAAGAGACGCTAGCTCTTTAGAGCAGTGCCCATTATAGTATTTGTAGAAAAAAGAAAGAGAAGCAACATTACGACGATGTGACAGAGGTTGAAGGTTGGCTGCAAGAGCAGGTCCAACTATTACTTATTGTTCCTCCCACTTTTGATGCATAGTTAAAAAAGGCAACCAACTATAGTTTATTTTTCTTGAAATATCTCTGATGGTTGGTTGCCCACACCCTTATGCAGACCAATGTAGCCCCTATTTCCGTCTACTATTTCAGTCCTTTAAAATAGCCAAGATAATTTTAAAAAAGCTATGTGCCACAGTTATTTTAATTTTAAAAACTATTGGAAACAACTTCTATGGTCTTAAGTGTTATATCAAATCATAATTTGTTTGAGTGACACAACTTTTATCCTGGCGGTCAAAATTGGGAACAGTGTCGGTGTAATAGTATTAATATTGTACACTGCAACGAAATTCAGAGTAACAACACTACAGATCTTTAAAAATTTCTAGTTATGATTTTACATCACTAAAATCACCGCTCGAGTATATGTGAAAAACATTTATTTTGTTTTGATTTTATTTTTATAACTTTTGATTTTATTATTATCATTAAAAAAAATTAAGTTGGAAGTTAATGAAGAAATCGCTAACTTTCCTACTGAGTTTTCCAATTTTCTCATTTTGTTTAGACTACCATGGCATAAGCTAAAAATCAAATTAGGAGTAGTAATTATCCTCCTTAAGAATATGGATTCTAGTAGAAGACTGTGTAATGTAACACAGCTCGTCATCAGGGGGTGAACTGAATATCTGATTCAAGTGACAATTCTCAAAGAAACACAAAGAAATCTGTGTTTTCAATCCTTAAATCAATATTAGTTCAACAGAAAAGGATTTATGTTAATTCTGCTTCCAGTTCTATTTATGTTAATTCTGCTTCCAGTTCTTCTTTTTTATTTCTATTGCTAAGTTATTAAAAATATTGTTTATTAATTACTCAACTTTATTATATAAAACAATATAGAAAAATGACAGACATTGAAAATATTTGAAATAACATTGAAAATGTTTGGCGTAAAAGTTAATTACTGATAATCATAGTTTCGTGTTTGTTTATGTTTAGTTTGCTCCAAAAGTAAGGTCAAAATGGTGTCAATTTTTTTAGTGACTATTTGTTGTTAGTATGAAAACTTTAACATTAATAATAAAAAATACACTTTCTTCAATATTGGAATTCCTTCAGTAATGGAAGTAATGATACGATTCACTAGAGAAAATAATAATTCACTAGAACATAATATAACACTATTGACTAATTGTTAATTAATTTTTACTAAACACAAAAATGCTAAATGCAAAAAAATCTAGCTAAACTGAGTGGAGTTCTGGCATTGTTGCAGACTCGTTTTTAAACAATGATTGCACTTTTGTGTCAGTTGTTTATTTTTAAAAGTAAACAACTTTGTTTACTTTTTAAAAATTATTGAATAGCTTAAAAACAAAACAAAAAAACATCAGACAATTTTACTCTTGGTAACCTTGGTAACCTTATAATAATTTTTACAATATTTAAATTTAAATGAACTTGTCAAATCAAAAAGTTGGTTGGTACTCAATAGAATTTTTCTTACAAACCAGAATTCAAACATTGTTAAAGAAAAGTTTATGTTTGCCTATTGCGCATTTCAAACCTTCTTAATAAAGTGTTTTGTTCTTGAAAATTTGAAAAAGAAAAATACTTGATTACAATTTTTTCTAAGTTCTGGGCAAAAATGTGCATGTTAAAAAATAAATAGGAAGGGGGAGGGGGAAGGTGCTAGGGCTAATTAAAAACTGAGTTTAATTCAGACTTGATTTAAGACTTATTTTTTGTAATGGTTATGAAATACTTTTAAATTTATTCATACTTTGTATTACAATATATAATACAAACTAAAGTACAACAACTCTAAAAAAAAATTTTAATGCATTTTAGACAAATTTCATTTTTCTAATTTTGTAACTTCCCCGTGAGTACCCACTTTTTTTTTTCTGAAATCATTGTAGTATAGTATTTTATTACAATGATTTCAGGAAAAAAAACCACAATGTTAAATTATTGGAAAAAAATCTTATAAAAACCAGTGTTGATCCTAGGTTACTTGTGGTTTGAAGTGGAGATTTTCAGAAATTCATAATTTTTTACTGAATCGTATCTTATCACTGAATTTCTAAAATTTAGAAGCCTACTATTTATAGAAACTAAAAAAATGTTTTTTCACTTTTTAAATCACAGATTTTGTATATTGACTCATCAAAAATCAACTTTTTATACTTGCAAATGATTTTTTAGGTTTTTTAGGTAACCGTTATAAATAAAATCTTACATTCAAAATTCAATGTCAAAGTTTTATTAAAGTATGTCTAGATTTGTATACAATAAAAAAACAAGGTTTTCTGAAATAACGTTTTTAAGATGTAGAGCTTTAAAGTATGAACAAAATATGTTTTTGCTACTTAAGTTTTTATTTTTGGAAAAATCAGATATTTCAAATGACCATATCTCATGAACCACAAAAGATTTAATGCTAAAATTTTTTGGAATTTCTTTTCTCATTGATATTACCAACCTAGTAAGTATCATCAAAATCTGAGGTGGTCCATGTTAGACCTTGATCCACTTGCCATGAAATGACCCTCATTACAAAGTTAACCCAAATGCAAGTTTGCAGATACACAGTTAATCCGAAAGTAATTTGGCTGTTAAACAATTAATTTAACTGCGAACTTGGACTTGCAAATAAATTTCGGAAATGTTTAAACCTATATCTATAAAAATTTCCAAGATATGTTATAGTAAGCTAGAACAACTAGATGTTAAAAAACTGTCCTTTTTAAAATAGAGTTTAAAAAGTTTTAAAAAGTCAATAAATTATATCAATTTGATTTAAAAATTAATATTCCATTTCTCTTAAATAATTATTAGATTTATGTGATTATATTTAAATGATAATTTAGGTGGCTAGCCTAAGTGGTCCTTTGATTGAAAAACTTGAATCTTTATTCAATATAACTGAAGAAGAGAAACAAAAATATATGCAGCTCAACCTAAAAATAATGAATAATAGACATCCAGAAAGGTAAATGCTTTTTATTTGTTATAAGTTTGTTATGCTTATTCGAAATTTCATTTCAAAAAATGTTATTTTTTTAATATTTAATTGAAATTTACTATTTTTATTTTATTTTTGGATAAAGCCAGTTGAATTTGTTAGAACATGAATTATCTGAAGTTGAATTTATGCGTAAAAAACTCCTTGAACATTTTCGTGCTCTTTTACATGAATATCCCTTGAAAAATACCCAGCAAGATACAGATTTTTTGCAGGTAATTTTATCAAATCAGCATGTTATAAATTTTGCAATTGAATATTTTTTATTTTTTATTCATAATTGCTTTATATATATATATATATATATATATATATATATATATATATATATATATATATATATATATATATATATATATATATATATATATATATATATATATATATATATATATATATATATATATATATATATATCAGAAGAGTTCTGGGATAACCTATCGTTAGGTTATCGATAAGTTATCTAACGATAGGTTATCCCAGAATTCTTCTGACGAAAAAATATTCAACTCGGCAAGGGAAGAATATGACGAAGCTCTAAAAAGAAATGGGTTCAAAGATTTTAGCTTCAAATACAACCCTAAAACTGATACCAAAGTAACCCCCAATCGTAAAAGAAAAAGAAATATAATCTGGTTTAACCCACCATACAATAAAAACGTTCTCACAAATATAGGCAAAACCTTCTTACAATTAATCGACAAACACTTTCCAAAACCAAATCCGCTTCATAAACTATTTAACCTTAACACAACAAAAAGTCAGCTACAGCTGTACAAGCAACATAGCAAAAATTATAAAGAACCACAACAATAAAATTATTTTGATGAACCCAACGGCCACTTTAGCTTGCAATTGTAAACTAAGCAAAATCTGCCCTATGAATGGAAATTTATCAAATGTAATTTATAAGTGCATTGCATCATTCCCAAACACATCTGACAAAACATACATTGGTTCAACAGAGGGCATGTGGAAAACTAGATGGGCGAATCACAAGCAATCCTTCAAAAATAAAAAACTCACAAATGCAACCACGCTTTCTAAATATATATGGGATACACAAAATAAAACAAAAACAACACCCAATTTAAAATGGTCCATCATAAAATGCGCCCCCGCGTACAACAACATAACCAAAAAATGCTTGTTATGCTTATACGAAAAACTAATTATTTTATTGTATAAAAATCCTCAAGAATTATTAAACAAAAAAAAAAAAACTAATATCTAAATGTTGCCATGAGAGCAAGTTTTTGCTGGACAACCACAAACCAAAAGATTAGGTTTTTTAACTCATTTTTATTTGTACAGATTTATTATTTTTACGAGAAAAAAAACATATTTACACCTGATGATTGCATTTAGCATGAAACTAATAGTTGTAAAAAATATGCAGTTTTATTTATAAATATATATATATATATATATATATATATATATATATATATATATATATATATATATATATATATATATATATACACATATATCAAACCTTGGAATTAGGATCGTCATTGCCAAAGGCCTAAACCTAACTGCTGACCTTTAAGCATTTGAGGTTGGTGAAAATTTGCTGACCTTGTTTCTATGTCTTATAGTCAAACCTTTGTTTTATATTTTTTCTGTCAATCTGATGTCGACCTCACACAGATTTATGTCGGCTAATTGTTGCCAACCAATTTTTTTTTCTAATTCTGAGGGCTGATATATATATATATATATATATATATATATATATATATATATATATATATATATATATATATATATATATATGTATATATCAGCCCTTATTGTATATATATATATATATATATATATATATATATATATATATATATATATATATATATATATATATATATATATATATATATATATATATATATATATATATATATATATATATATATATATATATATATATATATATATATATATATATATATATATATATATATATATATATATGGAAGTTTAGAACATTAAACACATTAGAGTTGACTTAATAATTAAATAGCCATCTGGAGGTGCTTTAGTGCATACATCAACTTAGTATATATATTTATATATATGTATATATATATATATATATATTTATATATATATATATATATATATATATATATATATATATATATATATATATATATATGTACCTTATATACCATATATATATATGCCATTTATGACCGACCATTATGGAACGAAAATAATCTTTGATAATTGCAAACTTGCTGTTAGATCTTTCACCTTTAGATGTTGATAGGCCAATGTTAAAAAGATTGTAAGTGAGACACTCATTTGTGGAAATATTGAATGCAGCCCATTTGAATAAACTTCATTTAGAAGTTTATGCAAATAAAAGTTCGACAGGCTTTTTGCTGGCTAGAATATTTTTTCTTACGGAAAAAAAATGCCCAACTTCATTAGAAAATTTGTTTTTACATACAACTTATTGGTAAAGTTTAGCCGGATACTCAGCTTTTAAACCTAGTTTTTTTTGTCTGTTAGAGATATCTGTGATTACCAAAGGAAGGAAAACTTGTTAAATTCCTCTTTTATTACTTAAACCTTGGTTTCATTTGACTAGTCAGATTGTTGTGTGCAACATTAAAGACATCACACTCAAAATTTTTTAATGCTTCTTTGTTGTTGTAACTAGCAGGAATCAAAATTGCTTGTGGATTATCCTGCCTAATCAAATCTTGAACTCCATTGTAAATACCTGCCATATTAGCTCTATTGTTGCAGCCTTGACCACAACAATTTTTTATGTCAAGCTCATTCTCTTCTAACACATTCAATATCAATTTTGTTATATTAAATCCCTTCTTCTTTTCAAGTTATTCTTGCTTAAGGAACCTTTCTTTGACCTCCCACAGCTGATTATCACTTAATTGCAAAAAATGAAAGTTGAAAGTAATTTGACCGCTGTGTGACGAATCGGGAGTGCTGTCCCGAATTGTCCCACAGTGAAAAGCGCTTTTTTGATTTCTTGAATAACTTCTCAAACCACTTATTTGCCGTACTTCTCAATAAAATCATTTTGTGATTTCCAGGATAAGTAATGAGCTTGCATGCGTTTTTCTTCTTCTTGGTGCTTAGCAATAAGATGCATATAATCTTTTAACATATTATTATGGCGAGCAATTAATTCGAGCGCTCCAAGGAGTTCCCGTTCCCATTTTGAACAACTTTTTATTGGATCCTAATTGCAAACAAAAAATAATCAAAATAGTAATCCATATTTATATCTAATTATAACTTATAATTTTAATTTACTATAATTTTAATTTTACTATAATTATAATTTTGATTTTTAAATTATAAATAAAATAATGTAAAATAAAATTTAAAACTTAAAAACAATATTCTTACTCCTAAAAGCGAAATTTCTTGAAGCCAGAAAAATTGTGACATCAAGAATGCATTATAAATTTACTTTCCATCGCTTTGCGATTTTATAATTTTTATCTCCTATTTTGATTTTTCTTCAAAAGAATTTTTACATACCGTTAAATAAGAAATAAATTATTTTTCAACACTCTATACTTTAATATGACTTAAAACAAAAGGCCATTGAAAACGCGTGCATCCAAATGGAAAATGAAAACTATGTAATGTAATAATTATCCTATTTTAAATGTAAACAAAGTTTAAAAGGAAAACGAAATACACAAAAATTGCTTAAGCTTTAAACATGTTATCAGCTAAATTTTTTATCATTACAATAATTTTTTTTAAAAGCATATGTGATGCCCCATAGACTGACATATTACTTCAATTGCCCCTCCTTCTTATATATATATATATATATATATATATATATATATATATATATATATATATATATATATATATATATATATATATATATATATATATATATATATATATATATATATATATATATATATATATAGTGGTGTATATATATATATATATATATATATATATATATAGTAGTGGTGTAGTGGTAGAGCGCTCGCTTCATAAACGAGTGGTTCCGAGTTCGATCCCCACCACGTCCCTGGTAGTACAGCGCTAAACTCGTTTCTCTGCGCAGCGGCCTTGTTCGTCAAGGTTCGTGTTTCGGGGTTATAGAGTTGAGAGAGGGTTATAGCCACAAAATAAGTAGCCTCCTCGTCTGTAGTGGCCTTCTCGGCCTTGAGGAGGTGAAGTAAAATAAAAAATATATATATATATATAAATATATATATATATATCTATATATATCTATATATATATATATATATATATATATATATATGTATATATATATATATATATATATATATATATATATATATATATATATATATATATATATATATATATATATATATATATATAATTGCTAATTAAGAGATGGATTAGTTACTTGTATAAACTTTTTTTTATAACTTAAAAAATAAGATACTCTACCACCAATACTACTGATATTGCTTTCAAACAAAAAATAACTTCTAATTAGTTTGTTAATAAACTTTTTTTTTTAATACTAAATAAATGTTTATTAAGGCTGTTTAGATAAATAATGCTATTAAAACTACTGGCTGTTTAAATAACAATAATTGTATTTTAAAAAACTTGCTTTAGAAAGAAAGAAAAAGAATTTTTCTTGGCTCCTAAAGTTGCATATCTAAATAAGACCAATTACTTTTGATCTGGCCTTTAAAATTGACTAAAATTACCTCCTGTGTCTTAAATAGGAAAATAATATGGTATTAAATATAAAGATATGCAAACAATTTCCCACTCCTTCAGCCAATATATGATGCACAATTTCCACACAAGGTTTTACTGAAGTTACTTTTGACCTAATGTGGGTTTGGCTATTTCTTAATCTGTCAAAAACAATTAACTAGTTTTCTGTAAATTATCAGCTCAACTGTATTTTTTGTTGCAGAGATATGAGCTCATTTTGGAGAAAATCCTTTTTAATCATTGTGCAATAACTGTAAATAAGTGAAAAAAATCCTCTTTAATAATTGTGCAATAACTGCAAATAAGTGATGTAATGTAAGTTAAATAAAAGACTATCAAGATCTATCAATCTGTTTATTTTCATCTAATGAATTTTTTTCTTTTGCTATTCACCTCTAATAAAATTTTCTTTAATTTTGTATTAAAAATTAAATTTATAACATCTTGTAAAAATTTTCAATGCGGTTCACAATATTGTTTTGTAGAAATTTATCCTTAAAATTGAAACATTTTTAAATTAAATTTTCTGAATAACGTAAGTTAAACAGCATTTTTGATCATAAGTTTGCCATATAGCTGTCAGATATTTTGATCAAAAGTTTGCTATATAGCTGTCAGATGTTTACTATATAGCTGTCAGATGTTTGCTATATAGCTGTCATATGTTTTTTTTTGCTGTCAGAATCAAAAGTTTCTTATTGAATCTTCAGACTTGATAGTTTTCAAATAAAATTACTAAAAATTAAATTAACTTTCAGTATCTGTAAACAAATTCTAAAAAGTTATATCCTATCAAAAGTTTTTTAAATTGATTAGTTTTCTGATTTTTTAGTCATTTGAAGGTTCTATTAATGACTTTAATCATCATTCTACAATTAAAACAAGCCATCGTGAGCAAATCCTTGAAGCATTTTTATTAAACAAAGAGAATGAGCTTGATGAAAAAAAGGTAAATATTTTCAGTTAATAAAAAAATTAAATATTTCATATGCTTTCTTTAATTCTTACCTTTTTTTTCATTAAGAACAGGATTAATATGCTAGAAAATGAAAAAAGTATCTTAGCCTGTGAACTTGATGAACTAAGGGAACAGAAAACAGAAGAAATTAGTTTAAACCAATTAAAAGAAAATAACGAAAAGTCGCAAACATTGATCAATGAGTTAAAAAATCAACTCTCTGTTGATCAGACAAATTCTCATGAAGAAAAAGACCGCCTGAAAAATGATGTTAAAGAATTATGCAACATTAACAAAAGATTAAGGAAGAAAATAAAAGACCTTTCACAAAAATATCAAAAGATAGTTGATGAAAATCATAGATTACTTGAGGTTCAGAATAAAGCTGAACAGCAGATTCAAATGCTTAATGATAAACTTGCAACTGAACTATCATGTAATAAAAAGCTTGAAAATGAACTTCATATAGTGAAAAATGAGTTTAATTTTTGTTCAGAACATTTGCGTAGCTATGAAAACTTAAACAAACATTTGCAGCAGCAGCTAGACGATCAAAAGAAAGCCTACGAAATACAGTTGAAAGTTTTAGCTTCTGACCTTTTGCAACTACAAACTAATAAAACAAATGATTCTGTACAGCTAAATACATCAACTGTTATTGGTTTTGAATTTATAATCAATGAATTAAAAGCTAAAATATTGGAAAGCAAACATGAAATTGATTCTCTTTCAAAAGAATTAGAAAATTTAAAAAAAATAAACTTGCAAAATGTTAATGATCTTGAGCAATCAAAGACCACAATTATAGCTTTAAACTCAGAAATATTTTCTTTAAAAGCAGATCTTTCAAAGAAAACTATAAATTATGACATTTTACGTTTGCAAGAAGAAGTAAAACATTTTAAGGAGTCTAATCAAACTTTAGAATTACAAAATAATTTTGAAGCTCAAAAAATCACCAATGAAAATTCAGAGTAAGTTACTTTTTCTGAATTTTATATTTTGTACTATTTAACTAATAAAAAATTAGCATACACACTATCAATAGTGTATAGTATAATTTTATTTTATAAAATATTTAAAAATATAAATGTTATTTTTGCTATTTACATATTAAATAGTAATAGTATTATATATCACATCATATTATATAAAGATTCTTATTTATATTTTAATTACTTTAACACTAATATATTAATGTTAATATAAGATTAATAAAGATTATTTATATTATATAATTTAATACATATTAATATATTAATGTTAATATTATCTAATATGCAAATAGTATTATATAATATATAATATTATACAATATATAAAGAAAAGGTCAGTTAGTAAACATTTTTAAATAATGAAATTACTTTAAAACTGTTTTTAGTAAAATACATATATAATATATAGATGAAGTTAATGTAAAAGAAGATTTTTTTGATTATATAAACCATAGAAGTGAAAAAGATACAGTATTGAATAATTTGGGAAGTCAGATAGATTCATTTTCTCCTGTACACACAAGCTCTAAGCACTCTCTTTCTCCATTGAATCATCAATTTTCCCAAACTGTTGACAAAAGTATATTAATGCCAATAGATAACACTATTGCTCTTCATATTGAGGAGATGCGGAAACTTCAGAGACACTTGCAGTTTGCTATTCAAAACAACGATGTTTTAAAGAATAAACTTGAAGATCGATTGTATTTAATAGAAAAAGAAGCAAGTTCTTTAAATGATCCTCATCTTAGAGTAACATTGTTTAGAGAGAATGATGGCATGCGTGCAAAGATTCAAGAGCTTGACCAACAATGTCAACAATTGAAGCGAGAAATAAATATGTTGCAGGTAGAGAGAGAAAAGTAAGTTTAATTTTTCTATTTTTATTTTATTATTTTATTATTTTTATAAATTTATTTTATTTTATTGTATTTTTATTTAGATTTAGTAATCTTTTTTTTTCTTTAGTAAAATGATGCATATTCTTCAAAGAGAGGTTTCTTTTAAATTATTGATTTTTTTTAGTATCAAGGCAGAAAATAAACGATTGCATGCTCAAATCCATGATCTAAATCAACTTGCTTTCACTTTAAAAAGTGAAATGCAGGTACATGATCATCTTGTGCAGAAAGCAGATAAAATCACTAGTAATATTATTTTTTAACAATAATATCTAATGTATTATAATATTTATTACATATAATTCAAATAGAACTCAACTCTCATTATAGGGGTCCCAACTAACCCTTAGATATTTAACGGGTCCCTAATATTATCCAAAAAAAAAAGTTCATAAAAATATTAATCATTTTATAAAAATATTTTTTATATAAGTTTTTATGGATTTTTTTCAATTAATTTTTTTTAGTCATGATTTTATAAAATCTGATTACTTTTTTAAAACTTTTATGAGATTTCTTTTGAGTATCAGGTATTTTGAAGAAATTTATTTTGATAATATGACCTGTTAATAATGGATGGGTCAGTTAAGACCCATACATGTTTTTTTTATTTTAAATTTTTTTAAATATAGTGTTACTTTATTAATTAGAAAAAACCTAGGGGTGTAAGAGGAAGAAAATTAAAAAAAAAAAAAAAAATTTCACCTTACCCTTATGTACCTGAATCTAAACATTTACAAGAAATTCAATGCTTTTTGTTTACCTTCATATTTATTAATACACTGTTTTGACGTGCTTGATAAAACAACTTGAGCTGATATTCTAAGAATTGATAATGTCATGATAATTTTTTCTTGGAAATGCTATTTTTTAATTATTAAATAACTTCACTTTGAATAATAATAATAAGTCAAGTTATCATGGATCATCGTGAATCTATTTATTCTATCTATCATGCATCATCGTGAATCTATTTATTCTATCATTGATCATTAATCATTTGTGACAGATGGTACACCTTTTATTTTTCTTTCTTTTTTTTTTTCATATGCATTTATAACTATATATTTATTGACTGAATTAATAAGGGAAAGACATTAGGTATACATATAATGACTGGTTTTTTAATAAGCACAGCAGCGTGCACATTCATTTATTGAATTTTGCCAGGATAGGTGTTCAATAAATATATCATATATCAAAGCATCTGTGATTAAAAAAATAATACCAAATGCATCTTTTATAAGAGCTATAATAATGCATGAAACTTTTGTTGGAACCATTAGTTGAATGTATTTATTAAATTATTGAGTATTTTTAACTATGCTTAAATTTTAATAAATGTTGATTAAATATATTTTATTTAAATATTGAATAAATAATTATTATTCTAACTTATATTAAGTAAATTATTTTAATTTCAACTGTAGAGACAACAGATATAGATAAAGAGCTCATGGTAGGTTTGCTTGGAGATATTAAAGATTTAAAGGAAAAACTTAAGCATGCCGTTACTGTTGATAATCAATTGCGTAATAAACTTCAGGAAAAATTAGAAAGACTTCCCTCAGCTGCTTCATTTGATGAAACAGAGCCATCTACTCGTCGTGCATTATTTTGTAGCAAAGATTGGCTAGTAACAAATAAGTTAGATCGAGATTTTGCTTTGTTAAATGAAACTCCTACTAAAGATAATGGTAATATTTTTATTCTTTTTTTTTTATAGTTAGCAAAAATATTACTTGTTAAACAGGGATTATCTTTTTCCGGAATTCTGGATATTTTTCTCAAAATATAGTTTTTCCGGACATCCAAAATGTTTTCTCATACATTCAAGTTTATATAATATTTGTTTTAATGTATATACATTTTTCGTTTTCAGTGATCAGCCATAAAAAAAATGTCAAAAATGTCTATAAAAATTCTGAAGCCTACCAGCTGAGAGCAAAATTAGCAGAATAGTAAGGGAAAATATGTTCCGGATTTTTCCGGATATTTTACATCCGGATTTTCAAAAATGACCTGGATGATCACTGGTTAAAACTTATACAGGCGTACAAAAAAAATGTTTTAGTTTTAGATGTAGGGCTCAAATTTTTTGTATATTCATACTCTTGGGAAGCAATCTTTTGTAAAATAATTATTTTTTTTTGCCATAAATGTACTTTATACATAGATTATACCTGCCTAAATCCTTAATTGATGTATGTTAAAAAATTAACACTATATAATTAAACATTTTTTAATCTTTTTTTTTTACTCTATACATATACTTCTTATGCTCTATATATAATAGTAATCTCTTGTTTCTATATCCTTCCATCTTTATCTATAAGTATTATCGTTTTTATGACAAGTTATTATTAAGAAAAAAAGAAAAAAAAAATCTAATCAAAAGTTGAAATAAAGTTTAAACAAATTTTCTAATGAGATTCAACCGGTTGCTCCCAAATATTTAGAAACATCATAGTGGTGTCAAATATGTTTTACCATCATTGGCCTAACTCAATTTCATCACACTGTGCTAAATCAGTCACAGATGTGTTACAAGCATAAAATATACTACTGATACCAAAAGACATGAATTCAGCAAATGTGCCAGAAGCTCATCCTATTGAGGATCCTATTGTGTAGTTCTTTAACTAGTGTACTTGGATGTTTTCACTGCTGACGTTTACCAACAAGAAATGAGGATTAGTTGATCTTGAGAAAAATGAATGTCAGGCTTGTACAGAAGTTTGTTTCAACAATACATCAAATCAAATATGTCTTTGTGGATTTTTTTTGATTGGCAATGCTTATAGTGTGAAATAAAGTCATATTAAAAAAATCCAATTGTACTAATTTTTATTTGACATATTATTATTATAACCAATATAAGCTAAATAGTTCTTAAACAAATAAAGAATTCAAGCATCAAAAGAAACAATAAGAAACATTTATTAGAAGCCTTTCAATCATCAGTTATCATCTGTATTAGAAGCTTTTTAAATCAATAGTTATCAGATGTATGAGAAGCCTTTCAATCATCAGTTATCAAATAAATCAAATCGTGCTGTTTTTATTGTTCTTTAAAATATTTTTCAAAACATGTTTTTAGTTATGCAAAATGCTATTTTTCATTATTATAATCATGTGAAAACAATTATTCTTTTAGCAATATAAGGGGCTTCCCATAAAGGCAATTCCAATTTTTTAGTTAAGTATTGACCCCTCAACCCCCTCCCCCACTTCTTTGTCACTGGTTGTTCTTTTTGTCTATAGCCTTTTTTAAAAGGATGTTATAAAATTAGAATCCCTTTCCTTTTTTTCTTTTTAAATAAAATCTGTTTCTTAATTTATGCATGTTTATTGCTGCTTTTCGCATATGAATTATAGTTTTCTGTGTTTGAAAATTAACCTGGTGCTGATAGGGAATTTACATGTTTGACTCACATAGTTTGTTCTTTTAAGACTCTCTAAAATAAAAAAATTGTTTTATTTTAGTCTTTCAGTGTGTCATAGGATTTGCTTTACTCTTTGTCCGATCAGTTGCTTTTTAAATAATTGTTAATTGATATGATTGGAATAGAGCTGTCCACATTGTCTGAAATGATTGCATGATTTAAAATATTGAAGCCCTCTGTTTCAATTTCTCCCACAACAAGCTATTCAGCATAGGCTGCATTCTCTTCTGTAGCAATTACAGCTATCAACCCTCTTGCAAAGAAATAATAGCCACTTAGTTGATAACATTGGAATATTATTCCAATCTTATTAACCAAATGGCTATTATTCCTTTTTATTCTCAACTTAGTTTATGTTGAACTGACATTCTTTTTGAGCATGACTTAAGAGGCAAAGTACAAGTTACACAGAAAGAAAAAACAGATCATAAAGAGGAAGTTTGAATGATTTCTATGATCGAGGAATGGTTCTCTGAATATTAGAAGAGATTGTGGATTCCAGATATTGCTTTTTGATAAGAAACTCTTATTTCCATGTACTCCAGGTCAATTTTTGACTCTACCCATTCCAATCTGTCAGTCAGAAGATTTCTCAAAATCAGTAACTGTTTCAGGCATCACCACCAAGAATAGTTTTCTTTGTATTTTTCTGAAATATAATACTAAAATAATAAAATATATAATATAATAATAATAATAAAAAAATACAAAGAAAACTATTCTTGGTGGTGATGTGTGAAACAGTTACTGATTTTGAGAAATCTTCTGACTGACAGATTGGAATGGGTAGAGTCAAAAATTGACCTGGAGTACATGGAAATAAGAGCTTCTTATCAAAAAGCAACATCTGGAATCCACAATCCTCATCATCTCCGATCCTTGGATAAGAGTTTATGAGGATTGAGCTCTGTCTTGTTGTTTAGATTAATATACTTGGCCACCATTGATATTGGATCAATCATTAGACCTGACTATAGCACAGCTCTCTTCAGCAAATTCAAAATTCTGTTTCTCCAACAGAACTGCCTTGCCTAGAGTTGCAAAAAATTTAGTTTTTTTTCTTTTTTTAAAAGTTTGTTTTTGTTTGTTGTAATTTTTTTAGTTTTTTATATAGATAACGTTTTGGAATAGTTTTTTTTATTCTAGTATATGATCATTATAAGTATAAATACATGTAGAAACAACAATTTTAATTTATATTTTTAATAAAAAAACTAAAGTTAGTTATATCTATGTATACTGTATAGAAATGTATATTAGCTCTAAGTTATATCTATGTATACTGTATAGAAATGTTTATTTGTCATGTTGTATTTCCTAACTACTGTGTTACACTCATATACAGGAGCTATACTTTTCCTAAAAAAACAATTACTATTTTAATTTTGATAATGTAAATATATTAGTATATTATACCATGCCAATTTAATGTTATACTTCAGACATTTTTTTGATCATGATTGTGTAATAATTTTTGTAGTTATTTAATTATCAAAGGTGCTAAGTACATGTTGAAAAAAAAACATTGTTTATGAAAAAAAGCAATAATTTATTAATTTCAAAATTTATAAGATATAAAACTATATAATATATTATAAATACATTTGCAGCTATAAAATAAAGTACTATTGTAAATAATATATAAATATTTTAATTTAAAAAATTATTTATGCAGTAGTATTGTGAGCAATACTGCATTGGTTAGAGCTTTCTAATAGTCACCTAGACCTAGACCATCTTCATTTGATGATTTATTTATTCATAATTTATCTTTTTTTCTGGATTTTTTACTAGACGTTTTAACACTTTCAACATTTTTCAACAACCTTGTAATTTGAGGTCCATTTTTAAACAACGCTATAGCAAAGGGAACATATAATTCTTTCCATTTTGCTAATTTGGTTTATAGGTTGAAATAAATAGGCAACTAAGATTTTATTTTTGGCCCTATATGGCCCTATAAATCTTAAATAGGCAACTAAGATTTTATTTTTGCCCCCTATATGGCCATCTTAATCATAATTTTTTTGCCAACAAGAAGAACAAAAAGAAATCAGTCAATAATTTAAAGATATCTTTATATAAATACATATTGCAGAAAATTTTTTTTTAAATAAAAATAAGATTTTTTAAAAATGTTTTTAAAGAGATTTTTTTTTTTTTGAATTTTACGGATCCGTTAAACAGAAAATGGACTTGAGCACATAATAAATATTGGACGATTGAGCTTAAATTAGACAAATTAATCAAAAAAAGATAACTACGGCACATAAAAACCACTGAGTTCTGACTTTTCATCTAAAGGATAAGGGGGGTTAGGCACTTTAGTTTATATATATATATATATATATATATATATACATACATACATACATACATACATACATACATACATACATACATACATACATACATACATACATACATACATACATACATACATACATACATACAACCCTCAGAATTAGGAAAAATGAGGTCAGCAATAAATTGCCAACCTCAAACTGTTAGAGTTTCACAAAAAAAATTTGATACAAAGAGGTTACAAATGCTGACCCTAATTCTGATGGCTGTATGTATATGTATATATATATATATATATATATACTCATATAGTGTCGCTTTAAGAGCATTTTAATGTAAAAAAAGTCTCTTACGACTACAATTTTAATTACCTCGTCTCTTAAGCTGTTTTTGATTGTCATCGAAATGTCAAAGCAATTAATTTATGCGGAAGTACATTAAATTTAATTGTTTTTTAACAAATTTTTAAAAAACCGCAATTATAACGACTAGAAAGTTTTTTTTAATTAGTGGTGTTTTTGTTATTGATTTAATAAAAAACATTTTTTAAACATGCGTAAATGTTGCTACATCGACTATCTTATAGCCTGACTCGCAACAGAGTGCTGCTACATCGACTGACAAATAGCCTGACTCGCAACGGAGTGCTGCTACATCGACTGACAAATAGCCTGATTCGCAACGGAGTGCTGCTACATCGACTGACAAATAGCCTTACTCGCAAGGGAATGCTGCTACATCGACTGACAAATAGCCTGACTCGCAAGGGAGTGCTGCTACAACGACTGACAAATAGCCTGACTCGCAAGAGAGTGCTGCTACATCGACTGAGGGTTTGGTTTGGCCAGGCAGTCTATCAATTAAAAAAAAAATTTAATTTGTAAAACTTTTTCTGGTCTGGTTTATTAACGCGCTCTTTAAAACTACAGTTTATGGGAAATATTTTT